AGAAGCTGGCAGCCAGCAAGCGCCGCAGCAGCAGCAGCACCAGCAGCCGCAGCCGCAGCCAAGAAACCCAATTACAACAACAACTAGAAGCTCGACGTCGCCGCAACCGAAGCCGCCGACGCTGCCAACGGAAGCTGCAGACATGGCCCAGAGTCGTAGGCCAAAGGGGGTTTACTATTAATTAAAATAAAAATTAAAAAATAGATATATTTAATAACCTTGTAAGTAATAAGTTTATAAAGATAAATAATAACTAAAACTAAAACATATTTAATCCCATAAGAGTCCTGCAAGGATGCACAAAACCAAGGACAGTCCAAGGACTATCGTCAGCAGCGCCTCGTTGACCTTGTTTCCGTGACAGGAGAGCAGCTGGACAGGACCCCTGTACTCCACCAATCCACCTCCTAGGAGAACTTTGAATCGGCAAACGCTTTTGCTGACTTATCGTGTCCATTGTGCTTTCGGTTTCGGCCCAGTTAAGACCATGTGGTAGCAGAAAACATCCCCCATTAAATAAAACCCCCCTTATACCCTTTAATTACGAAAAATGGGTCCAAAATGTTATTACCAGATTTTAATACTTAATCTTCTTATATCGGGAAGGTTATATACCCCTTGATCTACCTTCTAAAAAATTCCAAAATTTTGAAATCCGTTTTTGGAGCTTTTCTATTTTTTCAAAATCTGAATTTTTCATTCACTCTTTTCGTGATATTTTAATTATTTCGTAACCGATTCCAAAACGGAATACCAATTATGAATCAGGGTTCCTATCTCCTTCATTCTGCATCCAAAGTTTGGAAAAATCCCCCGAAAAAAATTTTGGTCAATTTTTGGCTAAAATCCTAAGGGTACCCCTTACAAAAATTTCAAAAAATGGGTCAAAAAATTTATTGCCAGGTTTTGAAGGAGAATGATTCTACTTGAAGTTCCAAGATCGGGAAGGTATACCATTCCAGGATATTCCGAATATTAGCCGAGCTATGCACATTTTCCTTCCGGAAAATTCCAAAATTTTGAAATCCGTTTTTGGAGCTTTTCTTTTTTTTTAAATCTGAATTTTTGCCGCACTCTTTTCGTGATATTTTAATTATTTCAAAACCGATTCCGAAACGGAATACCAATTATGAATCAGGGTTCCTATCTCCTTCATTCTGCATCCAAAGTTTGGAAAAATCCCCCGAAAAAAATTTTGGTCAATTTTTGCCAAAAATCCTGAGGGTACCCCTTACAAAAATTTCAAAAAATGGGTCAAAAAATTTATTGCCAGGTTTTGATAGGGAATGATTCTACTTGAAGTTCCAAGATCGGGAAGGTATACCATTCTAAGACATTCCAAATATTAGCCGAGCTATGCACATTTTCCTTCCGGAAAATTCCAAAATTTTGAAATCCGTTTTTGAAGCTTTTCTATTTTTTCAAAATCTGAATTTTTCATTCACTCTTTTCGTGATATTTTAATTATTTCAAAACCGATTCCGAAACGGAATACCAATTATGAATCAGGGTTCCTATCTCCTTCATTCTGCATCAAAAGTTTGGAAAAATCCCCCGAAAAAAATTTTGGTCAATTTTTGCCAAAAATCCTGAGGGTACCCCTTACAAAAATTTCGAAAAATGGGTCAAAAATTTATTGCCAGGTTTTGATGGGGAATGATTCTACTTGAAGTTCCAAGATCGGGAAGGTATACCATTCTAAGACATTCCAAATATTAGCCGAGCTATCCACATTTTCCTTCCGGAAAATTCCAAAATTTTGAAATCCGTTTTTGGAGCTTTTCTATTTTTTCAAAATCTGAATTTTTCATTCACTCTTTTCGTGATATTTTAATTATTTCAAAACCGATTCCGAAACGGAATACCAATTATGAATCAGGGTTCCTATCTCCTTCATTCTGCATCCAAAGTTTGGAAAAATCCCCCGAAAAAAATTTTGGTCAATTTTTGCCAAAAATCCTGAGGGTACCCCTTACAAAAATTTCGAAAAATGGGTCAAAAATTTATTGCCAGGTTTTGATGGGGAATGATTCTACTTGAAGTTCCAAGATCGGGAAGGTATACCATTCTAAGACATTCCAAATATTAGCCGAGCTATCCACATTTTCCTTCCGGAAAATTCCAAAATTTTGAAATCCGTTTTTGGAGCTTTTCTTTTTTTTTAAATCTGAATTTTTGCCGCACTCTTTTCGTGATATTTTAATTATTTCGAAACCGATTCCAAAACGGAATCTGCAATTATGAATCAGGGTTCCTATCTCCTTCATTCTGCATCCAAAGTTTGGAAAAATCCCCCGAAAAAAATTTTGGTCAATTTTTGGCTAAAATCCTAAGGGTACCCCTTACAAAAATTTCGAAAAATGGGTCAAAAAATTTATTGCCAGGTTTTGAAGGAGAATGATTCTACTTGAAGTTCCAAGATCGGGAAGGTATACCATTCTAAGACATTCCAAATATTAGCCGAGCTATCCACATTTTCCTTCCGGAAAATTCCAAAATTTTGAAATCCGTTTTTGGAGCTTTTCTATTTTTTCAAAATCTGAATTTTTCATTCACTCTTTTCGTGATATTTTAATTATTTCAAAACCGATTCCGAAACGGAATACCAATTATGAATCAGGGTTCCTATCTCCTTCATTCTGCATCCAAAGTTTGGAAAAATCCCCCGAAAAAAATTTTGGTCAATTTTTGCCAAAAATCCTGAGGGTACCCCTTACAAAAATTTCGAAAAATGGGTCAAAAAATTTATTGCCAGGTTTTGATGGGGAATGATTCTACTTGAAGTTCCAAGATCGGGAAGGTATACCATTCTAAGACATTCCAAATATTAGCCGAGCTATCCACATTTTCCTTCCGGAAAATTCCAAAATTTTGAAATCCGTTTTTGGAGCTTTTCTATTTTTTCAAAATCTGAATTTTTCATTCACTCTTTTCGTGATATTTTAATTATTTCGAAACCGATTCCAAAACGGAATACCAATTATGAATCAGGGTTCCTATCTCCTTCATTCTGCATCCAAAGTTTGGAAAAATCCCCCGAAAAAAATTTTGGTCAATTTTTGGCTAAAATCCTAAGGGTACCCCTTACAAAAATTTCGAAAAATGGGTCAAAAAATTTATTGCCAGGTTTTGAAGGAGAATGATTCTACTTGAAGTTCCAAGATCGGGAAGGTATACCATTCCAGGATATTCCGAATATTAGCCGAGCTATGCACATTTTCCTTCCGGAAAATTCCAAAATTTTGAAATCCGTTTTTGGAGCTTTTCTTTTTTTTAAAATCTGAATTTTTCATTCACTCTTTTCGTGATATTTTAATTATTTCAAAACCGATTCCGAAACGGAATACCAATTATGAATCAGGGTTCCTATCTCCTTCATTCTGCATCCAAAGTTTGGAAAAATCCCCCGAAAAAATTTTGGTCAATTTTTGCCAAAAATCCTGAGGGTACCCCTTACAAAAATTTCGAAAAATGGGTCAAAAAATTTATTGCCAGGTTTTGATGGGGAATGATTCTACTTGAAGTTCCAAGATCGGGAAGGTATACCATTCTAAGACATTCCAAATATTAGCCGAGCTATCCACATTTTCCTTCCGGAAAATTCCAAAATTTTGAAATCCGTTTTTGGAGCTTTTCTATTTTTTCAAAATCTGAATTTTTCATTCACTCTTTTCGTGATATTTTAATTATTTCGAAACCGATTCCAAAACGGAATACCAATTATGAATCAGGGTTCCTATCTCCTTCATTCTGCATCCAAAGTTTGGAAAAATCCCCCGAAAAAAATTTTGGTCAATTTTTGGCTAAAATCCTAAGGGTACCCCTTACAAAAATTTCGAAAAATGGGTCAAAAAATTTATTGCCAGGTTTTGAAGGAGAATGATTCTACTTGAAGTTCCAAGATCGGGAAAGTATACCATTCCAGGATATTCCGAATATTAGCCGAGCTATGCACATTTTCCTTCCGGAAAATTCCAAAATTTTGAAATCCGTTTTTGGAGCTTTTCTATTTTTTCAAAATCTGAATTTTTCATTCACTCTTTTCGTGATATTTTAATTATTTCGAAACCGATTCCAAAACGGAATACCAATTATGAATCAGGGTTCCTATCTCCTTCATTCTGCATCCAAAGTTTGGAAAAATCCCCCGAAAAAAATTTTGGTCAATTTTTGGCTAAAATCCTAAGGGTACCCCTTACAAAAATTTCGAAAAATGGGTCAAAAAATTTATTGCTAGGTTTTGATGGGGAATGATTCTACTTGAAATTCCAAGATCGGGAAAGTAAGCCATTCCAGGATATTCCAAATATTAGCCGAGCTATGTATAATTTAAGATGTCTTAGTCTCCAAAATCCATGCCGATCCCCTTTTCCAAAGAACTGCACGCCCCTGGCCAGTGCAAAATCGAAGATGAAACGCAGCTTCCAATCAAAAGCTCCCGGCGCCCACCTTGGCCGCCCACCACAGGCGTCAAAAAGCTTGCCCCTGATGGGGAATTCACGGTCAAAGCTGAGCTTTTTCAAGCGGGTGGTTTGAGAAACGGCTAAGCCCCAGAGGCCCCCATTCAAGTTATAAACCAGGCTTATTCTTAAAAAAACAAAATATAAACTCTTTGATTTTTTGGGGCATATTGCAAAATTGTATAAATTTATTACATATACATAGTTGGATTATGAGTGGAGTGAGTTGGTGTGTTGGTGTGTATGTGCTTTAGAATAAGCGATTGCGAGAAATCAATCAAATCCTTCTTATTTGGCTAAGCAAAAAAATATATATGCACATACATATATATATATATCAATATATATATATATATAGTATTTGTATTAATTGTCTTAATTGTATGGTTTAAAAAAAAAAAACTAATGGGAGAAAACAAACAAAAAATTTTATGTTTTACCTAAATATAGTGATAGTGTTTTGTGTTGTTTTTTTAACTTAAAAATTAGAATTAGAATTTTTCTTTAAGCTTATGTAGACTTAGTTCGTTTTTTTTTTTCTCAGTTCTCAGTTCTTGATTTCTTTAGTATTTTTCTGATCATTTTCTCTTGCCATTCATCGCATCTCTATACACTCTTAAGGTTAATATTTTGTTTAGTTTTAGTTTCAGCTTTTAAACTATTGCTCGTTAGGGGTGATTGTAAACTAAGGAATTCACTAAACTTAGGATGGACTCCCGTCCGCAGCATATTGACAAAGAATATATATAATATCCACATATATATATATATAGAGAATGGTTATATAGCGCTCTCGAGTAGGTTAGATCGGTTAATTGGTAGTTAGCTTGGTTGGCTGATTGGTTGGTTTAGCTGCTTGGTATTTGCTCCTCGAATCCCCATCCTCTCCTGGCCTTTGGCTCCTCGCTCTCAGTCTTCACCTATGTGCTTCATAGCTCGAGTCCTCCCATCTGATCCCTGATTATCTGATTATCTGATATTGGCGAATAGATTCAGGACCGACTTGTTCTCCTTCTGACTCCGCGCCTTGCTGAACACGTTCCAGAAGCGCAGGGTCTCGTCCCCGGCCCCGGTCACGATCGCCTCGCCGTCGGGACTGAGGGCCAGGTAGAGGACGCGGTACGAGTGGCCCGTCAGCTTGGCCACCTGGGTGAGCGACGGGTACTTCCAGACCAGAATCTGGTTCTGCGAGTAGCCGTGCGTGGAGACCAGCTCCGAGGAGTGCTTCGACCAGGCCAGATTGCACACCTGTGAGCCGGTGTCCACGCACTGCATGGGCTGGCCCGTCAACGTGTTCCAGAACCGGATACACCTGTCCGCCGTTCCCCCGCCGCTGGCGAGTAGTCCGTGGTGGTGTGGCGACCAGGCGATCGCCTTCACCGCCGCCATGTGTTCCGTGTACGACTGCACCGGACTCAGCGAGTGCTGATTCCACACATACAGCCGATTGTCGTTGCCCCCGCTGGCCAGATACTGATTGTCCGGCGACCACTTCAGGCCGCACACCTCCTGCCTGTGCCCGGCCAGACGTCGCTCCGACTGCAGCTGCGGCGTCCTCGTGTCCCTCTGGATGATCCACCGGTCCCGCGACCCGCTCGACAGGATGTCGCTGTTCCAGGCCAGGGCGCCCACCCGCGCCGAGTGGCCGTTCAGCTTGTTGATCTGCTTGTTGGCGGCCACGTCCCAGACGGTGACGTAGCCGTGGTGGGTGCCCACGGCGACCGTGTTGCCGCGCTCGTTCCACGACACGGACGTCACAGTGTTGGCATCCGGGCTGAGATCGCACAGGCGGGTAACCTGCAAGTATCAGTACTTAGTATGGGGAGGGCTCTTTTTTGGAGGGGGGTCTAGTCCCACTCACCTGACTCGTGCACGCGCTCCAGAGGTAGACACAGCTGCCCAGGCCCACGGCCAGGACGTTCTGCGAGGACCAGTCCACCAGGTTGAGATAGAAGTCGTCCTGCAGCTCCGGAGCGTCCAGCACCTTGAACGGTATCCGGGAGATCTTGCGCGTGGCCTTCCGGGGCGAGCGGAGCAGCTTTTGGCTTTTGGCGCTGACCGGCGACAGTGAGTAGGGGCACTCGCCATTATAGTCCTGCAATAGAAGGATAATGGTAGTAAGTAATGGTACTAGGTGGTCTATAGGGTATAGTATCTATATCTTTATTGTATTCAGGTCCAATTCCGGTGGCAGTCGAGCAAGAAATTGCCACAGTGAGTGTGTTTTGTTTGCACGGCGCGTACTTGGCGTTCGGCAATTAACGCCACGATGCTAAAAACTGCCACCGCGGTTGTCATAGGCCTACCGCCCCCTCAGGCCTACCCCCCCTCTATCCCCCACAAAGTACAGGAAAAGAAATTAGAGGGACTATGATAACCAGAAAGGAAAACATCGACAAGTTCTTAAATCTTTGACTAAGTTTTAAATAATATTTCTTACTTTCTTACTTTTTTTTTTATAAAAAATATTTATAATCTTTAGACTAATAATTTCTCTCAGTGTTTCTAACAAAAATTTGCAATTGTCACGCATTTGTTTGCATAGAAAATGCGGGCCGGGAAGTGTGTTAAGCGTATGCGTAAGGGTCAGTCCCCCCTTTTCCGCCGCCCCCTTTTTTCAAAAAAAAAAAAACCCAAACCTCTTGAACTTCTTACGCAACAATGAACCATAAAAAAAGTGAGTAATAGTTTGAAAGAAAAAATATCAAGACCTTTTTTTGAAACAAAATTCCCCAAAAAGATAAAAAAACAAAAAAACAAAATGATTAAATGTTAAAAAATGTTTGAAAAAAATTAAAATATTTAAGGAATTATTTGATAAACAATTCTAGAAAATAAAGCTTAATTAGTCATAGAACTCAAGAAAGATTTGCCTTGAAATCAGGGAATTAAAAAAGCAAATAGGGTTTATTTATAAATCTAAGGTTTTTGTGACGAAAGTAGTTCCTTATAAAAAAAAAAAATCTTTTATTCTTTTCTTAATTTATTAGTTTTGATTTAATGTTCCATTTATCATTAAAGCATAAACCCTTGTTTTTAATATAAGCATTCATAGCTTCTAAATATTTGTCTATTTTTTTGTGACGAACACCATTTTAAAAATCTAACACCAAGAACTATCTATTTCCCAATATTTTTTATAGAATATTCAAATATTTATTGTTAACATTATACACTAATAAGTAATAGAAGTATATCTACAGCTTTCTTTAAATATTCATTTAAGCCCTAAGCAGGCCCTTAGCCCTTTCGTCACCTTTTTAAAAAGCCTTCACCATCATTAAGACATTTATTCCTCAATATTTTAAGGAAACTATTTAAATACTTGTTAGGAATAAAATATAGTATAATAAATATATTTATAGATATTCTTCGTAATCATCTTTAGTCCTTTCGTCACCTTTTTAAAAAGCCATGGCCATCATTCACATATATTTTACAGAAAATACTTAAATATTTCTTTATATTATACTTGAATATAAGTATAAGTACTAAAAGTAAGACTCTCTCCAAGTACCCTAATCTCCAAGCCTCCTCATTACTTTCGTCACCTTTTCAAACCCCCCACCACCACCAACATTTTTATTGCCGAATATTTTCGAGTAAAAGCATTTGTCATAGTGGGTTGGTTAGTCAGGTTCTGGTCATCACACTCGAATATATATTCCCACCGATAATATAAGTAAACATCCTGGCAAACAGAGCTCCACCCCACTGACCCGAGAGATACCATATAGAGAGGTGCGTTTGACCCGCGGGGAGTCATACACTTGACGTCATGCCCAGAGGGTCTTTAATTCGTTTAAAAAATTAAAAAAAAGAGACAAAATAAGAGAAGACTTAATTCAATTAACAGACGGAAACCAAGAGAACTTAATTACAAATTGCAAAGGGGGGGATTAGATAACAAAATAAAAATAAAATAAATAAAAGTATGCGTGTGTAGGGTCCTTAATGGTTCAAATTTAATGGCCTGGTCTTTGGTCTTCAAAGGTCTCTGGCTCCAATTTCTGGGAATGCTGTGCGTGGCCTGCAAATGGCTATTTTTTCTATAAAACGTACAAGCAACTGCCATTAAATTTAAATGTTTTTCGATGCCATGCAGAGTCTTAAAAAAAGCACAAAAAAAAAGAGGGTAAGCCTATTAGAAATTCCAAAAAAAAAAAAAGGGAGCTTTGATAAATGGCTAGAGGAAATCCGACAACTTGTTTTTTTGATTCAAATCGCACATGAAACAAAAATATATAGTGTTATATATTTATCAGATGGTGTAACCTTGTTTTTAATTTAATTAACAAAAGAAATCTATTTAGGAAAAGAGTACAATCATCATTCATTCATTCTGGTGAGAAAAAAGCCGGCCGGTCTGAGAGACAAATCCCAGACTTGTTTTTTTATTTTTTATTTTTATTTTTACTTCAGGGGGCGGCGCTTAGGAGTCGGGCTTATAAATTAAACAAACAAATAGCCAACCAGAAGCGAGAGAACCGTCAAGAAAATAAAATAAAAAAAAAAAACACAGAAAGCGTGATTCCAAAAAAAGAGTTAATACTGGAGAGTTGGGAGGTTGGGGACTTGGGAAGGGGGTAACCATGTTTAATGGTAATGTTGAACCTGTCGCTGCGATCTGCGATCTGTAGCTGCCATCCAAGCCAACCTAATCGCTTCGGAAAGAAATAAAGGCAACCGAAAGCCCCCCAAAATAGTCATCGCTAATGGGATGTTAATGCAAAGGTCTGCTGCATAAATTAATAATTATAATAACAATAAAAATCCGACTCAAGACTGAAGACTGGAAGACTACAAGACTAGAAGACCAAAGACCTGCTTAATGGCTATTCGAAAATGGGCAGTAAATAAGAAAATAATTTTTAAGAGCTGAAATCAGAGTAACAGGTGCGTGACTTGGGGTGTGGATATAATAGTTATATTATCAAGGGTTTGGGGTTATTCATTTTTATATTTTATTGGAAATTATTAAAGGAAATATTGGTATCTATTTGCTTTGGTTGGTACCTTTATAGATATGACTAAAATAGTTGTATAAAATGTACTTTCGTCACTAAAATAAATCTAGTATATGAACTCTTACTCTATTAGAAAGTCTCTTCTATTTTCTATATTTCTTTTCAATAGAAAAAGAAAATATTACTGTTAGAAAATAAATAGAAATATGTAGTAACTCTTACAAACTCTATTAAAAGTACTTTCGTCACTAAACTTTCATAAATATCTTCTCTAAACTGTCAGGGAAGAGTATTCTATATTATATTGGTTTCTTTTTTAAGAAAAGTCGAAAAATGTCTTCAAATCTTTTCCGATTATGAAAAATAATAAACAGAAACTCTTACAAACTCAAGCTTTGAAGTCAACTTTCGTCACAAAACTTTAGTTAAATTCAAGATTCTATGTCTTCCTTATTTTTCAAATTTCTTTTTAATTAAAAATCAGAAATTCATTAAAATCTATAAATAAGAGCTATTTTTAACTTATTAAAGCCTTTTAAAAGATAACCTCACTAAGAGAAATCAAGAAAACGAACGTACTTTCGTCACAAAACTAAGGTAAATCTATTCTCTAGAGTTTTTATTCCCTTCCATTTTTCTTTTTAATTAAAAACCCCTAAAATCAGTTCTATAAATAAGAGATACATACTTTCAAATTATTAAAACCTTTTAAAAGATGAGAAAAACTAACGTACCTTCGTCACAAGACTCAAGAATTCCCTATTTTTTACTAAAAAAAAACCCCCAGGAATTTCAACCACAAAGCCATTCCATTCACCGAAAATTAGAAATTGCCAACACACCTTTCTGAAGCCAACAAAAATCAATCAAAACAATGGCAGAAGTGTCTGCGAGACTTCCATACCTCCTACCGAACAACCTCCTATAGGGGGGGGCTAGTGGTGGTGGTGGGGGTCTGGAGCCTCCACCCACGACTATATTATTTATGACAATAGCTCTGCGACCGCACATAATTGAATTACATATTGTTTGTTGTGACCAAGGGCCTCCCAAAAAAAAAAAAAAAAAAAAAAGGGGAGTGGCATGTTGGGTGCCGTGTTAATTGTGGGGGCGTGATGTAGATGAATGGGCCACGATTTGCGGGTGACTGATGGCCGGGAGACGCAAAATCGAGCCACCTCTCGACAGTTGCCAATTGCCGAATATATGCTCCATTAGGCCTCCCCCCCTGTGGTCGCCATTAATCAAAGAAAGAGTTGGGCCACTCGAGATCTTGAAGTTTCCGAGTCAAATGAGCACACCAGAGAGATCCCCGAGCTCCGAGCTCCAAGCTCCAAGCTCCGGGCCATGACCATAAAACCATTCCACTCAAGTGCCGTTTTAGACCACTGAAGTAGTAGTTGAAGATCCCCAGATGCTGCGGTCCAGTCCGAGCCACTTCAAGTTGCCTTTCTTTCGGTATTTCACTATTTAAATACTCTACATGGTATGGGGGTTTACTGAATAGTACATGAGGTTTAAAATTTCCTCAAGTAAGAGGTGGTTTTATTCTATTTATTTTCTACATTTTATCAACTTTCGTCACTGGTATTTTAAACCTATTTAAATGGGTTATACTTTTGGAAAAGGTATTATAGCCTTGTAGGTATTATAGTCTATTATTATTATAGTATTATATAGATATAGTATTATAGTTATAGCCTTTATTACGCGGTACTTGAAAGCATTTCCCTAAGAATAGCTTTTTTTATGAGATATTTCTTTTCTGCTTTCGTCACAAATATATTCACCTAACTCTCAACTCTTCTAAGAGTGTCTTCTATAAGAATTTGTGATTTATCCAAAACTAAAGCCCTTTAGAGAGTCTTCTGTATAAGTCTTCTATAGAAAGTCTTCTGTATAAGTCTTCTATAGAAAATCTTCTAGATAAGTCCTTTATCCAGCCTTCTAAACTATTTCTTCCCTACTTTTTATTTAATTTCGTCACTGGTATTTTTTTAAATCAATATTAAATTATTCTTACACTTTATTTATGCTTTTAAATTTCATAATTAAGTCTTTAAACCTGTGATTATTAGTTTTTCATTCTTTAAAAGCTATTCATAGCCCAAACTCGCGTATGCTTTCGTCACCAATTCCAGTTCTCCGCCCTATAAACTCCCCTAGAAGTCTCTTCTAAAAGAATACCCTATTTTTTTCACAACTATATTCCTTTAGAGGGTCTCCCCCATTCGTTTTGAAACTAAAACCATAATTATTTCATTATTTCGATTGTTTGATGAAGGTGGCTGGTGTGTTTTTTTTTTGGGGTCTCAGTTGGGTTGGAATGTGCTTTTCGGAGGGGCCTCTGGCTGCCGTCTCTCTATGGATTTCAATACCGGATTGCTTCTGCCTATGGTTGGGCTTATGTATGGTCTGTGGCTGGCAACGTGTCAACTGTCAAAAATCAGTCAAAACAACGAAAAAAATGGCCTAAACGACAGACGAGCGGTCATCGGACGTGCCCCACACGTTTCAACCATATTTGCTTTGGGATTGTAGTTTCTTTTTTTAAAAAACGACATAAATCTGATAAGAAAGCAAATATGTCAGGTCTGGCATAACAATAAATATAATGATGGTCGAGATCTAATGACAAGTGGCAATGGCTACCACTCCATGGCTCTATTATTTCTGGAGATCTCGTGGCCAAGACAGTTGGATACCACCAGCTATTTATACATTTGTTTAATAACCAGAGTACAGTACAGGCCCATTAGAGATTAGAGATCGTGAAAAGTAAAAAATAAACACATTAACGATCGTCACGAATCAAAGAGTCTGTTCACCTCGTGTCTCCATGGAGAGATCTCTTTTGGGATGTTGGCCACCAACTTTTCCCCCCCACCCCAGCCGGTCGGGCTTCGGAGAGAGAGACTTTTCTTCTCCGAAAACCGGTTTCCACATTCCAACCGGAGATCAATTGAAGATCTCTAGAGACACAAAGCCAAAGGAAAACCTATTCCCAGCGGAAACTAGTTTCATTTTTTTGTTTTTTTTTTTGAGGAATATAATACCCTACACCTGTTTCCATTAGAAAGATGGATCCACACTTCCCACGATCTCAAGTTTAGTTTATTGAACTTTTCCTTCAGCCGCCAAGCTATTTTTGCAAAAAATAAAAAAATAAATAAAGAAAGAAATAAAGAAATAAGAAACCTCAATTAGCACCGACTGCAAATTCAATTAAATGCATTCTTGCAAGAATACAATACCGCCGCCGGGGCCCTCAATGGAGAGTCAACTGCGATGACCTGGATCTGCATTCTATATTTGGGGTTCTTTTTCAGGAAAATTGCTCTTTTTTGGATGTTTGGATAAGTGCTGGGCTTGATATTTGTGTTGATAGAAGATATTGTTGGAGTAATTCATAGTATTATTATTGGTCTTAATAATATAGATATTATAAAAGATATATCGATATTAGATAAGTATTATTATATTTATTATGATCTTGTTATAGATCTGTAGAGTTTCTTCTTTCTTAAAAGTGATATGATATCATATGATAGAAATATGATATATCTTTGATGGAAAACCTTCTCTATATAACTGGGATTTAAGAGTTTCTTTTTTTTAATAGAAGTTATCAATAGTTATTCCAACATTCTTATAAGTGATGTGGTATCATGTGATATTATATGGTGTATAATGATATAATATTTATCATAGTTTCTTTAGAAAACATTATAAAACTAGTATTTTGGAGTCTATTTCTCAAAGAGAGAGAATATTTAGATCAGAAATTGTAGAAACTTTTAGTTAAGAGAACTTTCTTATAAGTGATATGGTATGATATGATACCAAATTTGATAATTTGTATAAATTCTTTAATAGAAGACCTTATAAAACTAGACTTAACTATAGTATGGAGTTACTTTTTGGTTCTAAAAATGGTCCAACATGTTTCTTTTAAGAGTTATGATATGATGTGATGGAAGATGATGTAGTATTAATCATATCGTCTATAGGAACCCCTACAAAACTAGCCTATTTGAACCAATTTTGCAAAATATATGAACTATAGAATTCTACAACATATAGAAAACAGATCTTTCTCATAAAAGATATCATTTGATATTATATTATATGGTATGATATATAATAAAATATTATATTTATCACGTCTTTAATAGAAAAGCTATAATATATAGACTATTATATAGGACAGACATTGAACTTGTAGGACTTGTAGGAAAAAACTTTCCTAAAAGTGATATAATGGATCTATTCCTCAAGTCTGTGATAGAAAACCCATTAGAACAGAAACCCAATGACTCCACTACTCTTATCTACTCTAAGATATGACTATATACATATCATATTCACTCATATACACTATATCATACAGACTCTACTTGCTTTACATGACTATATATCTCTATACATCACAATCTCTAGATGACTCGCCAAGAGTAGGTACAGAATAGAGTATAGTACAGTATATGAAGTATATAGTATAGTATACTCTTGTACAGTATAGTATAGTATAGTATAGTTTAGTATAGTATAGTATTATATATAATATAAAAGTTGTGTAGTATTTATTATAACTTTCCTAAAGAAAGTCCCTCTTTTTCCTTCTCCAAGGTCTTGAAACTATCCACCCAAAAGCCTCCCAAAAACCCTATAACACTATACTCCGATACTACCCATACCATATCTCCTTATAAACATTATATATAGATGCATCATAGAATGGAGAAACTAACCTGCTTGGTGGGCGACTGGTACTTGAAGAGACTCCTCTTGGCGGCCGGGGTGTAGGCGTTCTCGTTCCGCTCCTCGCCGGCGGTCTTCACGTCGTCGATGGCCGAGCCGAGGAGCTCGTTCTTGAGGAGGCAGGAGTAGGCGAGGCTATCGCGTGCCGTCTCCCCGCAGTCCCGCTGCTTCTTGCTCGTCTGGGGCGAGTTGTCATTCGACTTGTTGATGGAGGCGAAGTTGGTCTGCCAGTTGTTGTTGGCTCTGTAGGATTGGGGATGGGTGGGGGGCGAATCCAAAATCACGAGAAATGTTAATTAGTTGGAATTAATAACTAAATATGATTAAGTTTTGTGTAAAATGGTAATGCAATGAAAGGGCCATTAATAAAAAGCCAAGGAGGCTTCATACTTGAACTACTAGACGATATAGTAGCTATCTTTATCTAGCTATCTTTAAGATACTATACTTTGAAGTATGTCTCTGAAGAAAAGCCTGAATTCAAGCCCTTTCTTATATCTCTAGACCCCACTTCCCCTCCTTAGTAACCTTAATTATGCCAACTCATTGAAATTGAATGGCGGGCCATATCCATATCCATATCCATATCGTCTGGCCGGCCTCCAGGGTCCTCCCCCAGCCCAGACAGTTCCCACCGGGCATTGTTATTATTTCCGAGCTCCATTAGACACCAAAAACGTGTGCAACGTGCAAAAATTGACGGTCGAATTGCAAAAAAAAGCAAAAAAAAATGTTTATAAACTTAAATAATAATAATAGACATTTTTTTTTAAAGCCGTGACACTCAATGGTGCACTACTGGAAACTGTTTACGAATGCAGTAAACGTGGCTACCCCCACATAGGCACCCCTTTTTTGATTATCTGGCCAAACGCATTTGAAGTGCTGGCTTCCACCTCCACTTCCACCTCGAATAAATCAAATTTCATCAACGGATGGGCCCCCATTGGGGGGGTCACTGCAGGGACGCATGACAATTCAATCAGACAATCAGGTGGTTGTAGGGGGGGACTTCATCATCATCATTCTAACCGGAAACTAATTAAGCTCCAAAAGGCAGCTTAAAAAAATGAATAAAAGTATATCCACGATGTGAGCTGCACACTTCCATGGAAGCCCCACGTCGTTGAACTCCAATGAGGCAACAATGTTGGCTCTTAACTTGGCTAACAAGCTTCAAATTTTCCCCGTTTTCCCATCAAGCTGAGTCTTCTTTTTCGGACCTGCCTTTTGGCCAAAAAAAAGAATAAATTAAGACTGGAGTTCGGGTTCGTTGGGTAACCTTTTGAGCCGCCATGTCTCTGAGGTTCTTTTGGGCCTAATGGGCTATAAGCTGGACACAATTTGGCTAAAAGATAAGAGGTCTTTGAGGGCAATTATAAGAGATATATATGGGGTTTACTTGCTTACTAAAATTAAGACTTCTTTGAGTCATATTTTGAGAGGGTTCTAGGGAGGGGATGCAGAGAGGATCCAGGGCTATATGAGGGCTATAATATAATTAGGCCTTAAAAGAGGTGTTTTTAGGGGTAACTCAATTTTTTAAAACTTTTTTAAAAACTCCTCAAAAAAGTCAGAAAAAAATTCAGAGAAACGAACTAAAACCGGGCCCTGTTCTTGACCAAGAACGCCTCTTGGCCAAGAACGTGTTTGGGCCATGGATGGAGTCACCGTTAGGCCGGCCCCCGGGGAGGGCAGTCAGGCGGGAAATTCATAGAACCAGGTTTCCCCAACCAGGCCGGCTCTCGAAAGCGGAAAACATGACATGGCACTATAACGGCTCGTGGAGTTCAACAAACTTTGCAGGAAAACTAAACAAGATTTTTTAATTTGTTTTTAGAATTAAAATTAAAGACTCTCACCTGCAGGGAATGAACCTGTCCAGCGATGTGGGCGTGGTGGAGGACTCGAGATTGTCGAAGAGGTTCCTGGCCACGGGACTGCAGTGTTTCAGGATTCGTTTCTCATATTCGGGGCTGAACATCTTTAGTAGTGTTTGGGGGGGTGATTAGACTAGTTTAGTTAGTGTAACTAGTAAGCCAAGAAAATAGCAGCAATTCCAACAAGATCGTGTCTGGTTTTTAATTAAAATTAAGCCTCGAAAAAGTAACTATTTTGATGAACGAGAAATTTCGTTTTTTTGGCGAGAACTTTTATGGAGAATTTTATGGAAGTCGCGAGTCATTTGCGATTAAAAAATATATGCGGAGATCTGTAAAAAGAGAATGAAACAATTAATTAGAATTGTCTGATTTTTGTAATTTATTTTTTGGTTTTTTTGCGCACGACAACCCCCCCTTTAAAGCCATTAATCAACGTCTGGATGTATATGGGCCTGGCTAATCAGGTCCATGCATGCCTTTCTATTTTCGAATCGTTTTCGCACCCATTTCGTATCTGGTATCGGGTATCGGGGGGCGTATCAATCACAGAATACAAAAAATAAATAAGGGGGGACTTCAATTCCTTTGTTGCTTGTCATGTATTTGAGAATATATCTTCTTTCGATCGCCACCTGAATACTAAAGAAATAACTCACCGAAACTAGCCTCAAGCCAAGCCTCATCTTAAAATGAACCATAAAATAAAATAAAATATATAATATTTTTAAAAACTCGAACTAGAAGATTAGAAAAAGGTAATACCCTCTGGGGGGGAGGGGGGTGGAACTAATTAGAAACGCCACATGGCCATACTGGCCATCGTTGTTAACCCTTACGTGCCGTCTGGTAATTAATTTATGGGCGTTAAGTGTTGCTTGTTGGCGGCGGCGCTGCCGGAGATCTCCAGGGAGCGTTGAGGAAAATCCAAACTTACTCAGGTATATCACTTCCGCATTGGAGTCGCCTTACCCCAAGCCACACTTAGTAATAGAACAATAAAAAATATATATAGAACTTTTTTGTTTCTTTTTTATGATGATTTTTAGAAAATATACATTCTGGAATGCCGAGGGAGAGAACTGAATGTTTTGGGAAACGAACTCAGACTGACAGAACGGCACAGGTTACTGATCCCAGTCGGTTGGTCGATCGGTCGGGGGGAGGGGTGGGTAGATAGTGCTGTTGACTTGCAGGTACCATCCAGGGCAGGCAGGTACTCACCATAGCCAGCCACTACTGCTGGCACTGAGCGTTACTGGAACTGGAACTGATAAGCCCGGGGCGGCGATAAGCCAAAGCAAACACTTGTCGAGTCATGACTCAAGCCCTATTTTGGAATTGGTTCCAAGAGCAGGCTCGAGCATGCTCCTGGTTGCGGCGATAAGGGTTAAGGTTTTGGGGTGGGCCTTCCACTGAAAAGCTTGACACGATCGATCGTGTGAAAATCGGACAGTGGGGAGCACTTGTTTGGATTTGCCGTGAAAGCCGAGCCTCGAGGGAAATAAATAAACTTGGCCCTCTTTCTGCATGAATCGACTGTTTTTTGGTTACGAACCGATATTCTCAGATAACTGGAAATTATTTTAAAAATATTTTCATATAATTAGAGGGTTGGTTGGCAGAGCCACCCCTTTGTTTCGGGCCACCCCAACTCCTACTCCCTCCCCGTCTCGCTCGCACGCTGCATTGATAAATGTGGTGACACGTATGACCCGCATGTTGTCTCCCCTCCGCCCTCTCTATTTCTTCCAGCCTTACTCTCTCGCCAGCGAGTCACTCTCCCACGTTAGCCCCCCTGTGCTCTACGTCTATCCCGCTCCAATGCAACCGATCAAGGACAATGAACTTGAGCCAGCCGTCCCTCTTCCACTCGCCGCCTAGTGCGGTCTAAGACAAACGGTCTCTGTTCTGCTCTCTCTGCGTGTGTGTGTGTGTGATTTGTTGTTGTAGTTGTACTATTTTTAGTGCATGACTTTCCATTCGAACAGATGCCGAAGGTCATCAGAAGTCGCCTGGCTGGGGAGGAAAACAAAACCCGATAACTCTCCAGGATCGGTCGCAGTGGGAGAGAGATTGGAAAATAGTATATGTATCTGGAAAGAATTTTTAAAAATAAACCGCAAGATATAGAATGTGGTTTTCCACATCCACCTCACTTGGGAATTAATATTTCAGACTTGACGACACTGCCTGCACCTTATCAGCCATGCAGAGTACAAAAACAACAACAACAAATATATGATAACGGGCCACAGACAACAACCCCCTGTGGGAAAGAGTGGAAGGCCCGAAGAGCAAGCGAGAGGACGACAAGGGGAGGGTGGACTGCCACCACTGGTAGTGGTGGTAGCACTGCTGCTGCTGCTTCTGGCATAATCGATGGCCAAGAGAGAAAATTATGTCAAGGACATCAAATCGGCAAATACTCTACCAAATTGCTGCGACTAAATATTTAATTTGGCAATTTGCAGTAACCACCGACCGCACCGAGTTTGACTTATTATTTAGTGGCTGTGTGTAGTGCTTCTTTTAATTGTTTTGCTTTTGGCCAATGTTTTTGTTTTTGTTTTTGTTATTGCTTGTATTGTTGTTGTTCCTATTGAGCGTGTGTCGCCTGTCCGGGCACGGACTCTCTCGCTCGCACACAATGTACAGCTAGGCTAGAGCACTAACCATACAGCATATAGACAACCCATTTCATACAACGAAAATGGACGCGAAAATTTCTTGCGACAGGCCCCAGCAGGCCCCAGAGCGGATTTCTTACGCTCTTTTACGCTCATCGTTCGTTCATCTTACGCTCATTCTCGCATTAAATGTTTTCTGTTTCTCAGTCTCTAAACGGAGCGCGATGAAGAAGGTTGGCCTGCGCTTCGGTTGATCTTTGTGTGTATGCGTGTCACACATTCACATACACGGGTGTATGTGTGCGTGCGATTTCGTTTCGAAGCCAGCGCACAAAATTTTGATTTTTCTTACTTTTCAGGCTTGCTACCCTAACCAAATTCGGGTATTCGTTATTTGATGAAATGACGAAAGAAATTATATTATTTTTTATATTATATTTTTTATTATTTCAGCATACATTTTTAATTTATTTAGGAATAAGATTGAGTGTTAGTAGTAAATGATTACTGTATATATATTTTTACGAATCATTAAAAATGAATATGAGAAAATGAGAAATGAGAAAATTTCAGAGTATATTTCAGTCGGAGTTACTCAAAACGCCTATATCCTTTAAGTTTTTCTTGTTCTGCAAGAGGTATCAGAAAACCAATGTAAATATGTATGTATATATATACAAATATATGTATATCTGTAAAAAATTCGAGCGGCGACTTTTTTAAAGTTCCAAAATATATAAGGAAATTATTAAATTGACGACAATAATTTAATTAAATCTCACAATAACCCAAATTAATAACAAGTGCCTGAAAAATTGTAAACAAAAAAGGTAAACAATTCCATCAGCTGTTTTCGTGTCTTCACCCTCCCCTAAAAATCATTCCATCGTTAGAGTAGGCATGCACAAGCCTCTTGCAGAACAACAAAAACTTAAAAGCAATCGGCGTTTTAAGTGACTCCGACTGAAATATACTCTGAAATTTTCTCATTTCTCATTTTCTCATATTCATTTTTAATGATTCGTAAAAATATATATACAGTAATCATTTACTACTAACACTCAATCTTATTCCTAAATAAATTAAAAATGTATGCTGAAATAATAAAAAATATAATATAAAAAATAATATAATTTCTTTCGTCATTTCATCAAATAACGAATACCCGAATTTGGTTAGGGTAGCAAGCCTGAAAAGTAAGAAAAATCAAAATTTTGTGCGCTGGCTTCGAAACGAAATCGCACGCACACATACACCCGTGTATGTGAATGTGTGACACGCATACACACAAAGATCAACCGAAGCGCAGGCCAACCTTCTTCATCGCGCTCCGTTTAGAGACTGAGAAACAGAAAACATTTAATGCGAGAATGAGCGTAAGATGAACGAACGATGAGCGTAAAAGAGCGTAAGAAATCCGCTCTGGGGCCTGCTGGGGCCTGTCGCAAGAAATTTTCGCGTCCATTTTCGTTGTATGAAATGGGTTGTCTATATGCTGTATGGTTAGTGGCTAGAGCAATAGTGCAATGGGAAGAGATGACGACGGTTACCTCTGGGCCAGACGTAACTGTTACAACACACACAGACACGAACTCTCCCAAATAGACAATCATAACATGCACTTTGCACTCTCTAAGATGATCTCATCGGATCTATGTCGGTTGCACTTACGTTGTGGACTTTTCAAACTTCGCAGGAAGAAGTTTTACGCGGTAAACTCGAAAAAAAACTGTTAATTTTGATTTGGAGTGGGTCACACTCTACACACACGCACGCACACCGACGCGACGCGACGCTAACCGCGGCGACCTATTCCCTGTTTTTCCGCTGTGGGAAAGCTGAAAAACCGTCAATACTGTTCCGATCTTTAATGTTTTGCAATAGCTTAAGCTGAGCGCTCCACGGACGTCGAATGGCTTGGCGGTGCGGTGCGCGAGTCTCGAGTCTGTCTTCCTGCTGTTGGAGCTGCTTCTTCTTCAATTACAAATACAATTATAAATACAAATATCGGTGTTGCCAGACCCCAAAAACTATCGGTTAACCCTGAAAATCCCCTAAAAAATCCCAACACTAAAGAAGTCATCTCTTAACCGTTTCATACAAAAGTCGATGGTTGGCTATAGACTAAAAATATAGATATACAGTTTCAATCTTTTAAAAAGATTTTTTTCGTATAAAATATATATATTTCGAAATACTGGCATCTCTATTTTCAAAATATATCGATATATTCTATGACTGATTATCGATATGCCTATCGATTATTACCGGTCGTTATATTTTTGAAATATGACTGTTAACGGTTCAAAACGGATGCCGCAAATCTCAAAATAAACTTATAGATCCCCAACCATGGAGAGCCAATCCAAAAAATTAAAATACTTGCAATCTTTTAAACTATGAAAAAAATATTTAATGTATTTCCTTGGACAATACAAAGAGCGTGATGACATGAAAAATAAATACGCAATTATTCTTAAACGATAAGCACAAAAAATGGGACGAGAAAAAAAAATTAACGTTATTAGCATCTCTGGTAACTTAGGCTTTAAAATTTAAAAACTAGCTTAGACAACTCGACATTCGCACACAATTCAATGTAGTTTTGCATTACATTTTGTAAAGAAATACTTTCTGATAAAAATTATAAATGAATATTAATATAATAGAGTGTATTGTTAAGAAGTTTACATGCTATTTAGCTGTTTTTCGTTACAAAAAATATATATATGTATATGTTTACATGCTACTGATTTTCCGTACACTTGTAATTTGTTTTTATTGCTAGGTCTTAAGTAGAAATATATATTTTGTGTAAATTTATTGTTTAGTTTTGTTAGATATAGCTTTCTATAACGTCGCTATGTACAGTGAAACGATGCCAATTGCCTTGGGGGTTGTGTGTGTACAAAAATTTGTATTAGATTACATTTCAAGGTTTCGGGGGTTTCCCCTTTTTTTCTTGGGTTTCTGGAGGCTGGGAATGGGGATTACTATTTTCTGTGTTTCGCATGCCTATCCCCTATATCATTTGTCGATTTTGTAGAACTATATATTTTAGGTTTTCCGTTGCTTAGGATTTGTACTTGCAAGTTGCTCGCCCAATCGCCGAATTGGGTTTGTTACTCTCTCTCTCTCTCTCTATCGTTTCTCTAGTGTCTGTCTCTTTCTTTGTGGACTTGCTGTCTCTGTCTAATGTTTAGATTAAGCCTCAGCGTCGTCGAGTACCCCCTCCACCTGGCTGGCCCATGGGTGAGGCAGTTGCTCCAGCGCCGACGACTGCTGCCCGACTCCGGGCACTGTAGCAACTGATGGCAGTGATTAGGTTGTTGTTGTTTTGGGAGTTGCTGCTGTTGGAGCTGCTGCGGAGGGACCAGCGCTTGTTCAGGTGATCCGCCGCCGCGGCCAAGGCAGCTGTGTAGGCCCGGGTTCCAATCGCCAACGTGGGCACGGCGGCGTTGAGTTTCTTCGGCGATGGCGGCGGCCGGGCGGAGATGGCTCCGTTGCAGGCCTGGAGGCGATTCGACTTGGCATTGCCCTGGGATGAGCCTCCGCTGGCCACTCCGCCCAGGCTGCCGCTGGAACTGGCACTCAGGGTGGTCCGGCGCAGGCTTCGTCTCTGCTCCTTGTCCTCGTGGATCCGCTTCAGACGCCGCGACGGAACCGGACGTGGGGTACTGCCGCCGGCACCCGGGGTACGAACACTGGCCGCTCCGGCACTGCCCACCACTGGGACGTCCGGCTGCGCTCTGCCAGCTTCCCCGCCACCCGTAGCTATGGGAATATTTCGGGTGCGCAGCGTCCGCTTGGTCATGTCAAGGCCGAGACCCAGTCCGAGGCTGCAGAGGCTGCTGCGCAACTGGCGCTTGTTGACGCCGCCGCTGACCGTGAGGCTGTGACTGCGCCGCGTCATCATCATGGAGCTGCCGGCACCGGTGCTCGAACTGGCGGCCACCACTGCGCCGCTGCGCCGACGACTGGCCGCCGAGGCGTTGCTCTCCCTGCTGCTGGCCACTTCCACGCCAGATCCGCCCACTCCGCCGCCACCCACGCGTCCCTCCACGGTGTGGCTAGGCGTGGCTCCAATTCCCGCGCCGGCTCCACTGCTGTCGCCATAGGCAACTATGGCGGCGGCACTGGCGCCGATGAAGGACTTGGGCTTGCTGTGCTTGAACATCTGGCGGCGGCGCGTCTGCATGTGCTGGTGGTTTTCGTTGGGCACGTTGCGGTAGCGTCGCATCTGGCGGATGCGGGGGTTCGAGTTGCTTCCAGAGACGTTGCCGGCCGAGGATTCTCCGGCCAGGACGCCGGCTCTTTCCAGGGCCTCGCCCACGCCCGGCTTGTCCGACACCGGCGCCATGTCCGCGTCCTGCAGCTTCTGGATCTGCTCGAAAATGTAATGCACAGCATGGGCGTCTTCCTTGCGGATTTCCGCCACCGTTTCCGCCAGCATAGACACGAGTCCCTGCTCCTGGTTCGTCGGCGGCTTCTTCTCCGGCTTTTGTGGCTTCGTCGGGGCAGGTTTGATTTCCGGCTTTCTGGCCGGCATCTGCGGCTCCGGCGCCTCTTCCATTTCTTCTCCGACAACCTCCATTTGCTCCGTCGGAGTGGGTGGCAGTGTGGAGCTGACTTCGTTGTCTTGGAGCTCGGGTTCGGGTTCTAGTTCGGGCTCCAGGTCGTCCGGCAGCGATGCACTCCAATCGGCGGCCGGATAGTGGAACTCCTGCTGGCCGGAACTACTGCTGGCCACCTCCATTTGCTGTTCCCGCTGCTGTTGCTGCTCCAGGGCCACCTGCTCCTCCTCGGCCCGCTCCTGCTGCAGCAGGGCGTCCAGTTCGAGCAGCTCCCCTGGCTGTTGCCACGGCTGTTCCTGGGCCACGCGCTCGCGCTCGCGACGCGTCTCCAGCTGCGTCAGCGAGTAGCCCTCCTGCTGCTGGTAGTGCTGCTGCTCCTGGATCATCTCCTGGACACTGAAGGAGGCCGCCGCCTGGGCAGCGGACTGGGAATGAACGGCAGCAGCTGCTGCAGCGGCCGCCGAACGAGATCGCGCCTCCTGCTCCTCCTGCTCGTTGAGCAGCGTGTTGTAGGACTCGGCGAAGCTGTAGCTGCTCTCCAGATGCTGGTCCAGTTCGGGATTGGCGCTGCCCGGCGCTACAACGGAGTTGCCGTAAATGGCGGACTTGTCGATGCTGGTGTGGGAGTACATGGTGATGTCAGGGGCGCCGACATGCAGGCGAGTGCGCTCGTCCGGCTCGGGATCTGGCTCTGGTTCGATGCCGCCGGTCCACGAGTTGTTGATGGTCGACTTCCGCCATGTCTTCCGCGGCTTGAACCAATTCTCCACTGCCTCCACGTGCTCCTCCTCCTCGTCGTGGTCGTTCGGCGGCTCCTCGTCCTCCTCCATCTCATCCTCGTCCAGGCCAAAGTAATCAAAGTTGCGATACGGCTCCGGCGGCAAATGTCGCTTCGCCAAGGCACTGTAGGGTGTTTCCAGGTGATACTCCTCCTCCTCGATGAAGAACTCCTCCGGACAGCTATTCTCGCTATCACCAGGCAGCTCCTCATCGTCCTCGGCCGCCTCCGCCTCCAGCAGCAGATCCACATCCATATCGGGGTCACGGATGGACGTCGGTAGTTGGGGAGCAGCTTGTTGCTTTGAATCGGAGGTGGAATTGTGGGAGGCCGCTGGTGTTAGTATCACAGTTACCACGGACGTGTTGTCCGCCCGCATCTTCTTGGAGGCCCAGGTCTTGAGGGCCTGATCGACCAGCGCCTTGCTGGGATTCATGACGTCCTGCTCGTTCAGTATCTCGCCGATCAGGTGCTCCTTGCGCACACTGTCAACCGCCTCCTGGGGCGTCACCACATTCCACAGACCATCGGTGCCAAAGATCAGGCATCTGAGGCGGGGGATAGAACACCATTAGCTTCTTCTTTTGGGGGGGGAGAACTCATTCCACTTACCTGAAGGTACTCGGATCTATTTTCACGACTTTAACGTCGGGATCGGGACTGACTACGAACTCCTTGCACCGGGAATTGTAGCTCCAGAGATCGCCCAGGGATCGGGCGACCGCCAGGAAGGGTATATCATCGACCAATGTCTGCCTCCGGATGGGACCTCGATGCATCGGATCTCTGGGACGGTTCCAGACCACTCGCGGCACTCCCGACTTGATGGCCACATTGCCGCCGGCTCGCTGGATCCGCGTCTTCTCCGCCAGCGACTCGGGCTTGTGGTCGGTGGTTAGTTGGCGGGCCTGCCAGTTGCGTTCTCCCTTCCTCTGGTAGCCCAGCACGATCCCGGAATCCCCGACATGACCGATGTAGATCTTCTCCCGCCGCATAAAGGCCACGGTGGCGGTGGTGCCGGCTGTGCTTAGGTGCCCGTTGGCAGTTCGTGGCCATTTCTCTGCGGGATTGGGGGAATTCAAAGGGATTTGAGGTTAGGTTTCATAAAATGATGAAATTCAAAAAAGAGTTTTTCAAAAATTTGATTTCTTGTGAAATCTGTGCACCCTCCCCTTCCTAAATCTTAAAAAAATAAATATCTTTTCCCCAAATCTATAAAAATATCTTAGAATAACCCAACAAATGGCATTTCAACAGAATATTAATTAAATTTTATGGCCATGGTACAGTGTGCACTGTACAGTTTGAATCCATGGATAGATATTCTGGGAATATAAAAAAAAAAAAAAACATGGCCACTATTGACATTTTCCAACACATGCATCTGGCATCCCTCGGATTCGTATACGTTTTGTATTTGTCGGATGTCTGGGCTGTACGAGGCGAATACACAGCACAAAGAGTAAATGGCAAGCCCGTGGAATATTCCACTCGCCGAGCGATAACTTTTCTTCGTACGTGTGTATCTGTGTGAGGGTCTCTGTTGGTGTGTGTGTGTGTGTGTGTGCATTTTATGAGTAGGCAAACCACACAATAGAGATGAGAGACAAGCGAGCGGCGCTGCGATGGTTGAGTCACCGTTACACACGGTTGCATAATTGCTCCACCATCTAGAGGTGGGAGCGCGGATTCATTTCGGGGTCACTTTGTGGGGCCAGAACGGCAACCCTACACAGATAGCGGGGTATTTTACCCGGTTACCCACTTTGAAAATCTTCGATTGCGAATTCTCTTTTGAAATTCGTGCGTGAGGGGCGCCGGCACATCACTAACTCTTTGGGGGGGTTTCTGTTTCTGTTTTTATTTCTTTTTTTGCTTTTGCGAAAGCAAATATGGTCAAATGACGGGTGGGATTTCAGTTAAGAGAAAGAAACAAGAAGAATGAATACAAAGTAGGTAAGAACAGCCCACATGGTGGTGAAAGTTCCTCCAAAGCCATCCCCAGCTCATAAAAACCTTTCTAGAACGACGGCTTCCCCATTTTTGCGGTTTTCTTTGTTTCCGTTTGGTCTGCTTGGTTTGTTTTCGGGTTTATTTTTATATTTTACCTTAAAGGCTACTTGGATATTGTACTTTGAATGCCCCCCGCGCTCACCTTGTTCCCGCCACATGGCAAAGTGCGTGGCGATGTAGCCCTCGCGTATGGCCCGCAACACATCCTCGTCCTTGTCCGACCAGAACAGCTTCTGCTTCACAATCTCCAGCATGAGGTGCTCCTTGGCGAAGACAGCCGCCTCCGGGCCGCCGTGCCCGTCGTAGATGCCGAAGAACGCATACTCCAGCTCGTGGGTGAGCGGCGACTCCTGGTAGGCCACCGAGAACTGATCCTCCATGTACTTACGGCCCCCCTGGCTGCACTGGCCAGTGACGCGCATATTGACGCCCAGCGTGGAGCAGGGCGAGGTCGGTGTGGGACTGGAACCGCCGGAGCTGTCGGAGCTGCACGAGGAGCTGCTGTTAGAGTCTGTTGCGATGGAGCGAGCTGGAACGATGGCTGCCTGCCGGCGCAGGCGACTGAGCGCCACTCCACCGCCGCCCCGGGCCCGGGACATGGGCAGGGCGTGTGCCTGCTGTGACTGTGACTTTCTCTCTCCCACCGGATGCGACACTTCCTCACCGCCGGCTGCCGCACATGAAGACTGTTCCGTCACCGTTCTCCTCGTCGGGACAGCACCCACAACAACAACACTGCCGGAGTCCAATGCTGGACTGGAGCAACTACTGTTGCTGCTGATGGTGCTGCCAGGGCGTGCAGATACCGGCGATATTGGCTGGCGTGGATTAACAACGATCCGGGGCGACATCCTGGGCGACGAATCGGCATAGTAGTTGATAATATCGTATTCCACTTCGGTAACATCCACCTCCGATTTGGATCTGGGGGTTCCCGGTGTGGCGGCGACGGCTGTGGTTGCGGTTTCCTTCAGGCGGACCACAGTTCGCTCAATGGCTGATTTGATGAGGCATCTATTGGTATTATTTATATTGCCGCTGTGGCTATAACTGCTACTGCTACTGCTACTTCTATTGGCGGGCAACATTTTGGGGTTTTTGTTTATGTTGCAGCTGCTGCTGCTTCTTCTTCTTCCTCTTCTTCCTCCTCCCACGCTTGTTTATCCTTTTTGTTGTTTCCTATACGATGGTCTCCATAAACTGGCCAAAGAACTGTAAAAAAAAAAAGAAATTCGATAAAAACAAACGGGAAACGATATTTTGTATATGTTTTCGTCTCTCTTTGGCGCTCTCTCTTTGTCATCTCTCTCTCCCTCGATTGCTCTCTCTCTCTCTCTCTGTATCGCATCGGAAATCATTTAATCGAATTATGCATTTATCTAATTAAACAAATTGAATAAAATATTAAATACGTACACTGTATTCGAGTTAATATTTATCGTAAATATTCCTTTTTTTTTTATTATTTTTTTGCCCAAAATAGCCACTGGGCGTGTATGTGGGTTTCCAACGCTTTCACATGTATGCGTGCGCCATCTAGCGTTTGTGTGTTGGTTGTTCCTCTTCTTCTTCTTCTTGTTACTGTTGTTGTTGTATTTGCAAATCGCCGCCAAATTGCCTTTGCGTTGGCCTTCTTCTTCTTCTTCTTTGCTCGATATTGTATATTGTTTTTGTTTTGTTCCGAAATCTCAAAAACTGAACCCGAATTGATGTTTTATTTCTTTTATACACATATATATATATTTATTTATATATATAGAGCGAGTTTTAAGTAATAGCTGGAGCGAGGCGCGCGCAGTTTCACCTTGATAAAGATAAAGAGCGCGCACAAAATCCAAAAACGAAAAGAAAAAAAAAAACTTGTTTCCCCCCCCAACTCGGTTTCTGTCGCTGTTGCTCTTGCTGGGCTAGTTGCTGTTGTTGCTGTTGGTCTGGTTCCTGATGTTTTTGTTGTTGCCGTTGCAGCGTCTTTCCTTGCAGCAAACAAGCATTTTCGTTGAGTGGAAATGTTGCTTGAAACACACGATTTTAATTTTAGTTTTTTTCACGCTCACACACAACAACAAAATTCACGGTAAATTGTTCACAACAAAAAAAAACCAACGAGAAATTAAAATTATAGAGAAAGCAAAAATATAAGCAAGTAGCGAAGCGAAGGTCTAGAGTTAGTGATGTGAGATATTTTGACAGCGCCCGATAACACAGCGTTGCCACCTTGTTCGACTGTCACGAAATTGGCGCCAAAAATCGGCAAAGCACGCAGCTGTAAACCAGCATCAGCAAAACAAAATTTGCGCGTTTACGTTTTAGTTTGCATTTCCTCCTCTTCCGTTTAAGTTCCCGACACGCTAAACCCACTCACATAGTCTGCAGAATGGATGTTGCCGATGCTCAGGTTGGCCAGCTGCGCGTCAAGGATGAGGTGGGCATCCGTGCCCAGAAGCTCTTCCAGGACTTTCTCGAGGAGTTCAAGGAGGACGGCGAGATCAAGTACACCCGTCCGGCAGCGAATCTAGAGTCACCCGACCGTTGCACCCTGGAGGTGAGCTTCGAGGATGTGGAGAAGTACGATCAGAACCTGGCCACCGCCATCATCGAGGAGTACTACCACGTCTACCCGTTCCTCTGCCAATCCGTCTCCAACTATGTCAAGGATCGCATTGGCCTGAAGACGCAGAAGGACTGCTATGTGGCCTTCACCGAGGTGCCCACTCGCCACAAGGTCCGTGATCTGACCACCTCCAAGATCGGCACCCTGATCCGCATCTCCGGCCAGGTGGTACGCACCCATCCCGTCCACCCGGAACTCGTCTCCGGCACGTTCATGTGCCTGGACTGCCAGACGGAGATCCGCAACGTGGAGCAGCAGTTCAAGTTCACCAATCCCACCATCTGCCGGAATCCCGTGTGCTCCAATCGCAGGCGATTCATGTTGGATGTGGAGAAGAGTCTGTTCTTGGATTTCCAGAAGATTCGTATACAGGAGACCCAGGCCGAGCTGCCCCGCGGCTGCATACCCCGCGCCGTGGAGATCATTCTGCGTTCGGAGCTGGTGGAGACGGTCCAGGCTGGCGATCGCTATGACTTCACAGGCACCTTGATTGTCGTCCCGGACGTCAGTGTCCTGGCCACGCCGGGCACCAAGGCAGAGTCCAGTTCCCGTCACAAGCCCGGCGAGGGCATGGAGGGCGTTACTGGTCTGAAGGCCCTGGGAATGCGGGAGCTCAACTACCGGATGGCGTTCCTCGCCTGCAGCGTCCAAGCCACCACGGCGCGCTTCGGCGGCACGGATCTGCCCATGTCGGAGGTCACTGCCGAGGACATGAAGAAACAGATGACGGACGCCGAGTGGCATAAGATATACGAGATGTCCAAGGACCGTAATCTCTACCAGAATCTGATCAGCAGCCTGTTCCCCTCGATTTACGGCAACGATGAAGTGAAGCGCGGTATCCTACTGCAGTTGTTTGGCGGTGTGGCCAAGACCACCTTGGAGAAGACCTCGCTGCGTGGCGACGTCAACGTGTGCATCGTGGGCGACCCCAGTACGGCCAAGTCGCAGTTCCTCAAGCAGGTCTCGGACTTCTCGCCCAGAGCCATCTACACCTCCGGCAAGGCCTCGTCGGCGGCGGGTCTGACGGCAGCCGTGGTCAGGGATGAGGAGAGCTTCGACTTTGTGATCGAGGCGGGTGCCTTGATGTTGGCCGACAACGGAATCTGCTGCATCGACGAGTTCGACAAGATGGACCAGCGCGATCAGGTGGCCATCCACGAGGCCATGGAGCAGCAGACCATCTCGATAGCTCGCGCCGGTGTCCGGGCCACTTTGAATGCCAGGACCTCCATCCTGGCGGCCGCCAACCCCATCAACGGACGCTACGATCGCTCCAAGAGTCTGCAGCAGAACATCCAGCTCTCCGCTCCGATCATGTCGCGTTTCGATCTGTTCTTCATCCTGGTGGACGAGTGCAACGAGGTGGTGGACTATGCCATCGCCCGGAAGATCGTCGACTTGCACTCGAACATCGAGGAGTCGGTGGAGCGGGCCTACACCCGCGAGGAGGTGCTGCGCTATGTGACCTTCGCCAGGCAGTTCAAGCCGGTGATTGGCCAGGAAGCCGGACGCATGCTCGTCGAGAACTACGGACATCTGCGGCAGCGCGACACTGGCACCGCTGGACGCAGCACTTGGCGGATCACGGTGCGCCAGCTGGAGTCCATGATCCGGCTGAGCGAGGCCATGGCCAAGCTGGAGTGCTCCAATCGCGTCCTCGAGCGGCACGTGAAGGAAGCCTTCCGGCTGCTCAACAAGTCCATCATTCGCGTGGAACAGCCGGACATTCACCTGGACGACGATGACGAGGCTGGCATTGATGTGGACGATGGCATCCAGCACGACATCGACATGGAGAACAACGGGGCAGCGGCCAACATGGACACCTCCACGGACGGCCTGGACACGTCCGCGTCGGCGGTGCAGAAGAAGAAGTTCACGCTGTCGTTCGAGGACTACAAGAACCTATCCACCATGCTGGTGCTGCACATGCGCGGCGAGGAGGCGCGCTGCGAAGTGGAGGGCACCGACACGGGCATGAAGCGCAGCGACGTCGTCACCTGGTACCTGGAGCAGGTGGCCGAGCAGATCGAGTCCGAGGACGAGCTCATCTCGCGAAAGAACCTCATCGAGAAACTGATCGATCGCCTCATCTACCACGACCAGGTGATCATACCGCTGAAGACCTCGTCGCTCAAGCCGCGCGCCAAGGGCCTGGAGCCGCAGGAGGACCTGGAGGATGACCCGCTGCTGGTGGTGCATCCGAACTACATTGTGGAGTAGTGATCCCATCCCGCTCACCCACTCCCCACGTACAAAGCTTACATACATGATGTACCTAGTTAAGTTTGTGTTTCCAACTCCTACTAATCTTTTGTATTTAGCGGTTAAGTGTAGAAAGTAGTCGCCCAGAATGAATCCTGGCACCTTTTCATGATCATCCACGTTGCATTCTATGTTTTTTTTTGCGCCAAAATAAACGTTCATCTCCAGTTCTTTCTATTTTCAATTTAATTTTACAGTTGCGATGGTAATTTGCCTATGAAATAAAAACGAGGCCGTATTCCACAAGGGGACACTCTACTTGGACCGCTCGAAAGTGTAGTGCTTGACCCCATCGGCCGGGTATTGCTTGGCAGACACCGGGCGGTACATCTTCTTGTCCTCCAGCCAGTAGTACAGAGCCAGGCAGCCGGACATAACGCCCAGGAAGCAGACAAAGTAGTAGGCGTTGTTGTAGCGCGGCGGCTCGGCCTGGGAGTAGCGATCCTCGCTGTACAGATCGTGATTCGCCGAGATCTAAACCAAAAGTGCCACAAAGTTAGTTACAAAAGGAGATATTCCGAAGATTCAGCCACTCACAGGCTCGTGCAGGTTGCGCTTGTGCTCGGGGTAGTCCCAGGGGTAGTAGTTATCCTTGGCCTCCACGCCCAGGCCATATCCCACTTTGGGATAATCACCGTAGCCCAAGCCGTCGTCCGCGTAGGGTTTGTACTCCTCTGGCAGCAGATAGTACTTCTTGGCCGCCGCCAGGCGCTCCTTCTCCGTCTTGGGGAATGGTGCTGGCTTAAAGTCCTTGTTCCAGCCGGCCACTGTAACGAATTAACGAATATTTGGTCTCTTAGCATCAATGTTACGTAAACAAAACATGCATCGATGTGTCCGGTTATGGGGATTACTTACTGCTGCGCACCGCCTGGCGTGCCAGGGCAGGATTGGCGGCGCATAGCTTTTGTGCCAAGCACACGGTTTTCACAAATGCCGACATTGCAGGCTAGCCACGAAATTTGCAATTTTCTTCCTTCGCCCTGCAACAAAATCGGAGAGCAATCGCAATCAGCTGTTGTTGGCCTGGAGATGCGCGCCCACCGATGACGATACCGATAACAATCCGTCAATACAGGATTTATCGATAGAAGGACTCACTTTTAAAAAAATTCAAAAATTCTTTCAAAATTTATTAAAATCAAGGAATTCTATGTTTGAAAATATTTGATTGATAAATTTGGAATATTTTACTAGAATGGGTTGGAAACTGTTAATAGAAAGATTTGAAAAATGTGAAATATTCTTAAAACATTGCTACTTTTTAATTCCTCTTCTGATTTTAAATCTAAAAATCAAGTAAAATTTAAACAAAATATCCTTAGCTTTTATTTATTTAAAAGTTAATTTAAGAAAATGTCTTCAGAGCCATCGATATATTTCGATATCGCGCCACCCGCCCACCACTTTTGTTGTTGTTTTTGTTTGAGGGCTCGTCCGGGGCAGCTGAAAGTGATCTTCGCGAAAAGAAGCGGGAATTATAGTTAAAAATAATTCAAAATACAAAAGAATGGTGCTACCACTACTGCAGCGCTCCACTCTCCGTGGCGTCCAACAGTTGACCAAGCCATGGGCCGCCTCCGCATCCGCCGGCAGCCTGCGATTGGTAAGGAGTTTTTGGCCAGATTCGCCAATGCCATACACAAGCTTATGTAATTGGTTGTCCAACCATTAGCCGAAAATGCAATTAATATTTTTGCAATAATGCATCGCCAATTTGTTAAAAAAAAAAGCCAACAAAATTGAGAAACGAATACTGCCGGCGTTTCGTAATCATTATACAATGTCGGTTGGCATGGAAAGGCGGTTGGATGGGGCTTGTCGCTCCCCAAACCGACTCCCCAAGCTCTCCAGCCTGCTGCCACTTGTGGATTTAGGTTCCTTCGACTTGAAAACTCCAATTGGACGCCGTGTGGATGGCATCTTAGGTTCCACTCCAATTGGGGATTGATTTTTCGCACTTTTTCACTCAAAAATCACGCTCAGGTCACAGGTTTAAGTGAAAAATAACGAAAACAAACAGCGGAGAGAACAGAACGAGTTGTAATTCAATGAGAAATCGGAATTTTCGCTGACTATTCTTGTTTTTCGGCATTTTTTTTCAATTTCAATTCAAACCGGTTAATTGTATATTCATGGGAACCGACCTACACCGACACCTGTTATACACTCTCCCTCTGTAATGTCGGGGATAGTCCCGATAACTGTATAACAAGAGATAGTAGGAGATAGAGAAGTCCATGGAGGCATAAATTACCTCCCAAATCGCACATAAATGCGAAAAAAAACAGTACACATGGTAGATGGTTCCATATTATACAGTCGTGGCTATTAAAATAGTTATTTTTGTAAGAAATAGAGACTAATTATATTAGTTTTTCCAAGTATTCCTTCTTTGGAATCTAAATCTTGAATATATCAAAGAAACTATAATTATTTTAAAGTTATTTTATTCCTATTATTATAGAATAAGAATTAAAAATATTCCCCAAAGAAATCCTATTTTTCGAACCCCTCTTGTAGCCGCGAAAGAGAGGCGACCAAACGCAGCTGATAGCCAAGCACCCCATGCCGCGAAGAGTCTGCCGCCCCCCGGCCCGCCCCTCCATTCCGCCCTAAAAAGCAGTGATTTTATATATTTTTCGTTCACTCAGGTTTTATGGCTACTGCTTATCGGTGTGCTTTATTCCGAACCTCGCGGATCTCAATCTCAGTCTCAGTCTCACGCCGCAGCTAGAGCAGTCGCCTTCAAGTGGTCCCCAGCCATAGACACACCCCATTGCTATCTCTATCTCATTCCAAATGGTTAAGAGCTCTATATTCCACACTCCTATATGCATAATCACAAGATTCTAATCGGGACTTCTCTCGTGACAGGCCTCCCAGGATTTCCGCGTGGAAAGCGACACCTTTGGCGAGCTGAAGGTGCCAGCGGACAAGTACTATGGCGCCCAGACGATGCGCTCCCAGATCAACTTCCCCATCGGAGGAGCCACCGAAAGGATGCCGGTTTGTACCATGAGCAGATCTGCAGGAATAAATAAACAGAAGCCTCCCTCTCTCTGCAGAAACCCGTGGTCCAGGCCATGGGCATCCTGAAGAAGGCCGCCGCCGAGGTCAACAAGGAGTTCGGTCTGGACACCAAGGTCAGCGAAGCCATCTCCAAGGCTGCCGATGACGTGATCTCCGGCAAGCTCTACGACGACCACTTCCCCCTGGTCATCTGGCAGACTGGCTCCGGCACCCAGAGCAACATGAACGTCAACGAGGTGAGCAGATCCCCTCCGAATCCTCCTCCCAAGTCTCTAATCGATGATGTCCCTCTCCAAATAGGTTATCAGCAATCGTGCCATTGAGCTGCTGGGCGGAAAGCTGGGCTCCAAGACCCCAGTGCATCCCAACGACCATGTGAACAAGTCGCAGAGCTCCAACGACACCTTCCCCACGGCCATCCACATCTCGGTGGCCCTGGAGCTGAACAACAACCTGAAGCCGGCCATCAAGATCCTGCACGACGCCCTGCGCGCCAAGTCCGACGAGTTCAAGGACATCATCAAGATCGGCCGCACCCACACCATGGACGCCGTGCCCCTGACCCTGGGCCAGGAGTTCAGCGGCTATGCCCAGCAGTTGGCCTACGCATTGGAGAGGATCGACGCCTGCCTGCCGCGTGTCTATGAGCTGGCTCTGGGCGGCACTGCCGTCGGCACCGGCCTGAACACCCGCAAGGGCTTCGCCGAGAAGTGCGCCGCCAAGATCGCCGATCTGACGGGCCTGCCCTTCGTCACTGCCCCCAACAAGTTCGAGGCCCTGGCCGCCCGCGACGCCATGGTGGAGGTCCACGGTGTCCTCAACACCATCGCCGTGAGCCTGATGAAGATCGCCAACGACATTCGCTTCCTTGGCTCGGGACCGCGTTGCGGCCTGGGAGAGCTGTCGCTGCCGGAGAACGAGCCCGGCAGCTCCATCATGCCCGGCAAGGTGAACCCCACCCAGTGCGAGTCCCTCACCATGCTCTCCGCCCAGGTGATGGGCAACCAGGTGGCCGTGACCGTGGGCGGTGCCAATGGCCACTTTGAGCTCAACGTGTTCAAGCCTCTGATTGTCTCCAATGTCCTGCGTTCCATCCGGCTGCTCTGTAGGTCTTTGTAATCCTTGTTGTGGCTTATCTGATTGTACGATCCCTTCCAGCTGATGGCAGCCGCACCTTCACCGCCAACTGCGTCAACGGCATCCAGGCCAACCGCGACAACATTGCCAAGATCATGAACGAGTCCCTGATGCTGGTCACCGCCCTCAACCCGCACATCGGCTACGACAAGGCCGCCAAGATCGCCAAGACGGCCCACAAGAACGGCACCACCCTCAAGGAGGAGGCCATCAACCTGGGCTACTTGACCGAGCAGCAGTTCAACGAGTGGGTGCGCCCCGAGCAGATGCTGGGACCCAAGTAGACGCCCCCCCTCCTGTCAATGCCCGAGCTCCCCTGCAAATAAAAACGTTAGACACAAAAAAAGAGCGTTTGGCGCCAGTTACATTTCGTTGCTTGTCAAGATTCCCAAAACAAACCCATTTTTAACTTTCCGTTGAACACAAAAATGCTTAGAAAGTTGTATTCCCGCTCCTCGCGGGCTCAGCTGGTGAAGCGGGAACTGTTCACCGCCTCCGGTGGTCTCCGGGCCAAGGATGTAAGTCTTTCTCTTTGGCCTTATCCGACTGGCTTATCCTAGTTGAGAGTACTTTGTAGAACGGCAAGGGAAAGGGGGACGGCAAGGGCAAGTTTCGCATGGAGAAGGACACGTTCGGGGAGCTAAAGGTGCCGGCAGAGAAGCTGTACGGGGCTCAGACCATGCGCTCCAAGTTGAATTTTCCCATCGGTGACATTGCCGAACGGATGCCGGTATTTATTTTTGGATTTTGTCCCCATTTTTAAGCCTCTTAAGGATTCATTGTGGTGTCCAGATGCCAATCATCCAAGCGATGGGAATCCTGAAGAAGGCATGTGCCGAGGTGAACAAGGAATTCGGTCTGGACGCCAAGATCGCAGAGGCAGTCTCCTGTGCCTGCGACGACGTCATATCGGGGAAGTTATATCGACAGGGGCACTTTCCACTGGTTATCTGGCAGACGGGGTCCGGCACCCAAACCAACATGAACACCAATGAGGTGAGCAGTGCCCTCGGGTGGGCAGTAATCCCCTCCAGCTAATAATAATCCTACGGCAGGTGATCAGTAACGCGGCTATCAAGATGATGGGCGGGGAGCTGGGCTCGAAGAAACCAGTCCATCCGAACGATCATGTCAACAAGTCGCAGAGCTCCAACGACACTTTCCCGACGGCCATCCACATCAGCGTGGGCATGGAGCTGAACGAGCGCCTGCTGCCGGCGGTGGCCCACCTGCGCGACGCCCTCAAGGCAAAGTCCGATGAGTTCAAGGACATCATCAAGATCGGACGCACCCATGCGATGGACGCGGTGCCACTTACCTTGGGCCAGGAGTTCAGCGGATACGTCCAGCAATTGACCTACGCCCAGGACCGGATCAAGGCGTGCCTGCCGCGAGTCTATGACCTGGCGCTGGGTGGCACTGCTGTGGGTACCGGCCTGAACACCCACAAGGGATTCGCCGAGAAGGTGGCCAAGCGGATCGCCGAACTGACCTGCCTGCCCTTCGTCTCCGCCCCCAACAAGTTCGAGGCTTTGGCCGCCCGTGACGCCATGGTGGAGGTCCACGGCGTTTTGAATACGATTGCTGTGAGCCTGATGAAGATAGCCAACGACATCCGTTTCCTTGGTTCTGGACCTCGTTGTGGTCTGGGTGAGCTCCAGTTGCCGGAGAACGAGCCTGGCAGCTCCATCATGCCCGGCAAGGTGAATCCCACCCAGTGCGAGTCCATGACCATGTTGTGCGCCCAGGTGATGGGCAACCACGTGGCCGTAACTGTTGGCGGGGCCACGGGGCACTTTGAACTGAACGTCTTCAAGCCTCTGATTGTCTCCAATGTGCTGCGATCCATAAGATTGCTTTGTAAGTTCGGGTTTTGTTTTTAAATGAAAGTTTACCTAATTCTGCCTCTCCCAGCCGATGGCTGCATGACGTTCAGCAAGAACTGCGTGGAGGGCATTCAGGCCAACAAGGAAAACATTGCCAAGATCATGAACGAGTCCTTGATGCTGGTCACCGCCCTGAATCCGCACATCGGCTACGACAAGGCCGCCGCCATAGCCAAGACGGCGCACAAGAACAAGACCACGCTCAAGGAGGAGGCCCTGAAGACGGGCATCACCGAGGAACAGTTCAAGGAGTGGGTCGACCCCAAGAAGATGCTGGGCCCCAAATAGGCATTGGCTTTCTTGAAATCTTTAAATCCTGTTTAAATTGTAATCCGATAACCAAAAATCCGTTACAACAAATTCCCCATGTAATCGATACATTTTCGAAATCGAACGGAATTGATAACAATCGGCAGCACTGTCTGAAAAATTGATAAATATATTTTCAGAAACTGATCAGACAACTTTCTTTGTTTGCATTATTTATTTTATTTTTTAAATATAAAGTATATTTTTAAAAAATATAAGATTGGGCGCCCCAAAATCTACTAGAAAACCGCTTAATTTATATTCCAACTCCCATCACTAGCTATCTTATTGGGATTGTGCAGCCCTGGTCGCAACAAACACAGCTGTATTGGTGTTTTGAAGTTAGTCTTTGTTTTTGTTGTGGAACTCCTGCTTTTTTAACAAAAATCAAGACACCCAGCGGGATTAAACGTTTAATCGTAGTAGTCTCTGTGTAGGTGACAACTTTTCAAAACGCGAGTGAACTTCGAGAATAAAGCAGCTCTACAGCTGGACACGATTATCTAACGATTATATATTTTTGTATTTTTCGAAAGCCAGGAAGTAGGCGATTTTCAATAACAGTCGTTCAGCAAGGCAAGTGATCGGCTCTCGGAAAAAATTAACAGTCCAGTTGTAAAGCGCAAAATCTGTCTCTCCCACACAGGAATCGTAAAAAGTGTTTGGAAAATATAAAAAAAGAACCCTTTCGACCGGATTGTTGGAAACGTTTTCTTTTTTTTTCATTTTCTGCTGTTGCTGCCGCCTTGCACCTTGCACCTCAAGACCGCCGCACCGCACCGCCCAACCACCCACCCACCCATCCCTACTCTTCTGGCTAAATAAATTTTACGACGCAAAAACAAAACACACAAACACACACACATCGCACAGCTAAAGAAGACACCCAGGCGTCAGCTGATCTGCTATCGACGCGCGTTATCGATCAACCCACCCACCTATATGCCAATCGATAGCGGCCCTCACAGACAGAAAAAGAAGAAGAAACAAGAGCGATCCAATAAAAAGGTAAAAACTTTGGTTAATTATTGGAGCAAGTGAGTAATGTATGTATTCCATTGGCGAAGGCACTGCTAGCCGCCATTTAAGCGGACGGAAAGATGTCTGTGAGACTGTTGACCGTGCGACTGATCAAACATGGTCGCTATATTTTGCGCAGCTACTGTAAACGTGAAATACACTCCAACATTTTGGAACAAAACCAATTAAAGACAAGAAGCAAGCGAGGCTTTCCTCTACCCTCCACTGCTGCCAATGTAACTAGGGTGAGTTCCAGCTGATCGACCATTATTGGGCGTATATTGGATTGTAATCTCTTCTGAATCCCCTCCAGGCAGCACCCCAGCAGCCGGCAGCGGCGGCAGCCAGGTCGGCACCCAGCTCTGCGGCCCCTCTTTTGTCACGCTCGGCCGCCCAACTAGGCAGCAACAACAGTGGCATCTTTCGGGTTGGCCAGCATGCCCGAAAACTGTTCATCGACAACATCCTAAGCCGGGTGACCACCACATACTCGGAGGATTTGCGCCAGCGCGCCACACGCAAGCTCTTCTTCGGCGACTCGGCTCCTTTCTTCGCCCTAATCGGTGTCAGCTTGGCCTCCGGTGCCGGTGTTCTCAGCAAGGAGGATGAACTGGAGGGCGTATGCTGGGAGATACGCGAGGCGGCCGGGCGCCTGCAGAGCGCCTGGAACCAGGACGAGGTCTCCGAGACCCTGGACAGTAAATTCACCATAGATGACCTGGAGGTGGGCCCACCCATTGCCAAGGGATGTGCGGCGGTTGTATATGCAGCTAATTTCAAGAAGGATAATGCCAGCGGCGACGATGTCGATCCACTCCAGCCGGCCAGTGCTGTGCCAGCCATGGCACCCAACAACTGGAATGCCCACGAGATGATGTCACCCCTCCAGAACATGTCCCGCTTTGTGCACAACTTTGGGGGCTCCGTGGATAATATATTCCATTATAGCCAGCCCTCGGCGGCCAGTGATTTTGTGGGTGCCCTCGAGCAGGATAACCAGGACATTCACACGGAGAACAGTGCCTTAAATGCGGTGAGTTATGAATATATTTCTTAAAATATCAAATAATCAAGCTTTATTCTTTGCAGAATCCCCGGCAGGACATGAAACTTAACAGCTCAGTGGATCGGTATCCGCTGGCCCTGAAAATGATGTTCAACTATGACATCCAGAGCAATGCCCTGTCCATTTTGCGGGCCATGTACAAGGAGACGGTGCCGGCGCGTCAGCGTCGCATGAATCCCGCTGCCGAGGAGTGGGAGCGTCTGCTGCAGAACCAGACCCTAGTCCTGCCCCCGCACCCGAACATCGTCTGCATGTTTGGCTTCTTCTGTGACGAGGTGCGCAACTTCCCGGACGGCCATCTGCTCTATCCGGTGGCCCAGCCGCAGCGCATCAATCCCCAGGGCTACGGCCGCAATATGTCGCTCTATCTGCTGATGAAGCGCTACGACGACAGCCTGCGCGGCATGCTGGACAGGAATCAGGAGCTCAGCACACGCACACGCATCCTGCTTCTGGCCCAAATGCTGGAGGCGGTCACCCATTTGAGCCGGCACGGTGTGGCGCATCGGGACCTCAAGTCCGACAACGTGCTGATCGAAATGCTGGACGACGCTTCACCCGTCCTGGTGCTCTCGGACTTTGGCTGCTGTCTAGCCGACAAGGTGCACGGCCTGCGACTGCCGTACGTGTCCCACGACATCGACAAGGGCGGAAATGCGGCTTTAATGGCGCCGGAGATCTTTAACACGCTGCCCGGGCCGTTTGCGGTGCTGAACTACGGCAAGGCCGATCTGTGGGCGTGCGGGGCACTGGCCTATGAGATATTCGGAATGCGGAACCCCTTCTATTCGAGCAGCGGCGGCTTGGCCCGGGAGCGCGGCGAGCTCACCTACTCGCTGAAGAACAGCGACTACAAGCAGGAGCAGTTGCCGCCGATGAGCGAGGCCTGCCCGCCGCTGCTCCAGCAGCTCGTCTACAACATCCTCAATCCCAACCCGTCGAAGCGGGTCAGTCCGGACATTGCGGCCAATGTGGTCCAGCTGTTTCTCTGGGCTCCGTCCAATTGGCTTAAGGCGGGCGGTATGCCCAGTAGTTCTGAGGTAAGTTCTGACCCCACTGTACTCCATCTCCAAGTCTCCAATACAAGTCTCCTATCCCCTTGCAGATTCTTCAGTGGTTGCTCTCGCTAACCACCAAGATCATGTGCGAGGGACGTCCTCAGATGGGCGCCGGCGGTTTCGGGACTCCGATTGGTGGCGGACGACGCGCCTACGTGGAGTACCTACTTATTTGCAGCTTTTTGGCCCGCGCCCGGTTGCGCCGTATTCGCGGTGCCCTCAACTGGATTCAGAACGTGGTGGCGTAGGCGTTTGGCGGGGAATCGGCGGGTACGGCGCACAGCGAGGGCGTTCTTCTTGCCCATCACCCAATCTACTTGTTACTCTGAGAGAAAATCAAATGAAAAAGCGTGTGATACCTATATTTTACATATGTATTTATAAAAGAACTCAAAATTAACCGCACGCCCCGCAAGCCTATTCATTTCCGAATCATTCCATCGCCTGCAGCTCCTTCTGACGTTTCTTGATTGCCTCGATTAGCTTCACGATACGGCCATTGACTTCTTTCGACTTCTGGGGACTATCCTTGGGCGTTATTTCTGCTTTTTCGAGCATTGTTTTCAGGGAATTGTGCACCTCCATCATCATCACACGCTGCGTGTCCAGTGTGCTTCCCGAAATCTGGCTCATTATTTGTTATTTCTCTTAAAATCAAATGTCAATTGTTTAATAACTTTATATAATGACAGTTACGTTGATTACCAGTCTTAAAATGCTTAAAAAATGTATTATTTTTGTTTTGGTTTTCAAATTAAGCTTAGAGATGGTAAAAACAAAACGCGCTATAACCGATAGTTGTTATCGACGGACGATTTCGATAAACTAGCCAGGGCTGAAGCAATCTCAAAAAATATAATCTTCTTCTCGATTATCTTCATAATCGATCCACAAATCGTTTAAGGTACTCCGCTTGAGAATCGGATAAGAATTGGGCAAGATATAGCCATCGCAGTGGGGCCTATAGGGGAAAACGCCATTTTCAGGGGATCCATCAGGAAAAATGGGAAAAAAATCTGAAAAATATTTTGTCTCAGGATTTTCATGCAGAATGGTGGAGAATCGATCCACAAATCATTTAAAACACTCCGCTTGAGAATCGGATGAGAATTGGGCAAGATATAGCCATCGCAGTGGGCCCTATAGGGGAAAACGCCATTTTCAGGGGATCCATCAGGAAAAATGGGAAAAAAATCTGAAAAATATTTTGTCTCAGGATTTTGATGCAGAATGGTGGAGAATCGATCCACAAATCGTTTAAAACACTCCGCTTGAGAATCGGATGAGAATTGGGCAAGATATAGCCATCACGGTGGGCCCCATAGGGGAAAACATCATTTTCAGGGGATCCATCAGGAAAAATGGGAAAAAAATCTGAATAATATTTTGTCTCAGGATTTTGATGCAGAATGGTGGAGAATCGATCCACAAATCGTTTAAAACACTCCGCTTGAGAATCGGATGAGAATTGGGCAAGATATAGCCATCGCAGTGGGCCCCATAGGGGAAAACGCCATTTTCAGGGGATCCATCAGGAAAAATGGGAAAAAAATCTGAAAAATATTTTGTCTCAGGATTTTGATGCAGAATGGTGGAGAATCGATCCACAAATCGTTTAAAACACTCCGCTTGAGAATCGGATGAGAATTGGGCAAGATATAGCCATCACGGTGGGCCCCATAGGGGAAAACATCATTTTCAGGGGATCCATCAGGAAAAATGGGAAAAAATCTGAATAATATTTTGTCTCAGGATTTTGATGCAGAATGGTGGAGAATCGATCCACAAATCGTTTAAAACACTCCGCTTGAGAATCGGATGAGAATTGGGCAAGATATAGCCATCACGGTGGGCCCCATAGGGGAAAACATCATTTTCAGGGGATCCATCAGGAAAAATGGGAAAAAAATCTGAAAAATATTTTGTCTCAGGATTTTGATGCAGAATGGTGGAGAATCGATCCACAAATCGTTTAAAACACTCCGCTTGAGAATCGGATGAGAATTGGGCAAGATATAGCCATCACGGTGGGCCCCATAGGGGAAAACATCATTTTCAGGGGATCCATCAGGAAAAATGGGAAAAAAATCTGAAAAATATTTTGTCTCAGGATTTTGATGCAGAATGGTGGAGAATCGATCCACAAATCGTTTAAAACACTCCGCTTGAGAATCGGATGAGAATTGGGCAAGATATAGCCATCACGGTGGGCCCCATAGGGGAAAACATCATTTTCAGGGGATCCATCAGGAAAAATGGGAAAAAAATCTGAAAAATATTTTGTCTCAGGATTTTGATGCAGAATGGTGGAGAATCGATCCACAAATCGTTTAAAACACTCCGCTTGAGAATCGGATGAGAATTGGGCAAGATATAGCCATCGCAGTGGGCCCTATAGGGGAAAACGCCATTTTCAGGGGATCCATCAGGAAAAATGGGAAAAAATCTGAAAAATATTTTGTCTCAGGATTTTGATGCAGAATGGTGGAGAATCGATCCACAAATCGTTTAAAACACTCCGCTTGAGAATCGGATGAGAATTGGGCAAGATATAGCCATCACGGTGGGCCCCATAGGGGAAAACATCATTTTCAGGGGATCCATCAGGAAAAATGGGAAAAAAATCTGAATAATATTTTGTCTCAGGATTTTGATGCAGAATGGTGGAGAATCGATCCACAAATCGTTTAAAACACTCCGCTTGAGAATCGGATGAGAATTGGGCAAGATATAGCCATCACGGTGGGCCCCATAGGGGAAAACATCATTTTCAGGGGATCCATCAGGAAAAATGGGAAAAAAATCTGAAAAATATTTTGTCTCAGGATTTTGATGCAGAATGGTGGAGAATCGATCCACAAATCGTTTAAAACACTCCGCTTGAGAATCGGATGAGAATTGGGCAAGATATAGCCATCACGGTGGGCCCCATAGGGGAAAACATCATTTTCAGGGGATCCATCAGGAAAAATGGGAAAAAAATCTGAAAAATATTTTGTCTCAGGATTTTGATGCAGAATGGTGGAGAATCGATCCACAAATCGTTTAAAACACTCCGCTTGAGAATCGGATGAGAATTGGGCAAGATATAGCCATCACGGTGGGCCCCATAGGGGAAAACATCATTTTTAGGGGATCCATCAGGAAAAATGGGAAAAAAATCTGAAAAATATTTTGTCTCAGGATTTTGATGCAGAATGGTGGAGAATCGATCCACAAATCGTTTAAAACACTCCGCTTGAGAATCGGATGAGAATTGGGCAAGATATAGCCATCGCAGTGGGCCCTATAGGGGAAAACGCCATTTTCAGGGGATCCATCAGGAAAAATGGGAAAAAAATCTGAAAAATATTTTGTCTCAGGATTTTGATGCAGAATGGTGGAGAATCGATCCACAAATCGTTTAAAACACTCCGCTTGAGAATCGGATGAGAATTGGGCAAGATATAGCCATCACGGTGGGCCCCATAGGGGAAAACATCATTTTCAGGGGATCCATCAGGAAAAATGGGAAAAAAATCTGAAAAATATTTTGTCTCAGGATTTTGATGCAGAATGGTGGAGAATCGATCCACAAATCGTTTAAAACACTCCGCTTGAGAATCGGATGAGAATTGGGCAAGATATAGCCATCGCAGTGGGCCCTATAGGGGAAAACATCATTTTCAGGGGATCCATCAGGAAAAATGGGAAAAAAATCTGAAAAATATTTTGTCTCAGGATTTTGATGCAGAATGGTGGAAAATCGATCCACAAATCGTTTAAAACACTCCGCTTGAGAATCGGATGAGAATTGGGCAAGATATAGCCATCGCAGTGGGCCCTATAGGGGAAAACATCATTTTCAGGGGATCCATCAGGAAAAATGGGAAAAAAATCTGAAAAATATTTGGTCTCAGGATTTTGATGCAGAATGGTGGAGAATCGATCCACAAATCGTTTAAAACACTCCGCTTGAGAATCGGATGAGAATTGGGCAAGATATAGCCATCACGGTGGGCCCCATAGGGGAAAACATCATTTTCAGGGGATCCATCAGGAAAAATGGGAAAAAATCTGAAAAATATTTTGTCTCAGGATTTTGATGCAGAATGGTGGAGAATCGATCCACAAATCGTTTAAAACACTCCGCTTGAGAATCGGATGAGAATTGGGCAAGATATAGCCATCACGGTGGGCCCCATAGGGGAAAACATCATTTTCAGGGGATCCATCAGGAAAAATGGGAAAAAAATCTGAAAAATATTTTGTCTCAGGATTTTGATGCAGAATGGTGGAGAATCGATCCACAAATCGTTTAAAACACTCCGCTTGAGAATCGGATGAGAATTGGGCAAGATATAGCCATCACGGTGGGCCCCATAGGGGAAAACATCATTTTCAGGGGATCCATCAGGAAAAATGGGAAAAAAATCTGAAAAATATTTTGTCTCAGGATTTTGATGCAGAATGGTGGAGAATCGATCCACAAATCGTTTAAAACACTCCGCTTGAGAATCGGATGAGAATTGGGCAAGATATAGCCATCACGGTGGGCCCCATAGGGGAAAACATCATTTTCAGGGGATCCATCAGGAAAAATGGGAAAAAAATCTGAAAAATATTTTGTCTCAGGATTTTGATGCAGAATGGTGGAGAATCGATCCACAAATCGTTTAAAACACTCCGCTTGAGAATCGGATGAGAATTGGGCAAGATATAGCCATCGCAGTGGGCCCTATAGGGGAAAACGCCATTTTCAGGGGATCCATCAGGAAAAATGGGAAACAAATCTGAAAAATATTTTGTCTCAGGATTTTGATGCAGAATGGTGGAGAATCGATCCACAAATCGTTTAAAACACTCCGCTTGAGAATCGGATGAGAATTGGGCAAGATATAGCCATCACGGTGGGCCCCATAGGGGAAAACATCATTTTCAGGGGATCCATCAGGAAAAATGGGAAAAAAATCTGAAAAATATTTTGTCTCAGGATTTTGATGCAGAATGGTGGAGAATCGATCCACAAATCGTTTAAAACACTCCGCTTGAGAATCGGATGAGAATTGGGCAAGATATAGCCATCGCAGTGGGCCCTATAGGGGAAAACATCATTTTCAGGGGATCCATCAGGAAAAATGGGAAAAAAATCTGAAAAATATTTTGTCTCAGGATTTTGATGCAGAATGGTGGAGAATCGATCCACAAATCGTTTAAAACACTCCGCTTGAGAATCGGATGAGAATTGGGCAAGATATAGCCATCGCAGTGGGCCCTATAGGGGAAAACGCCATTTTCAGGGGATCCATCAGGAAAAATGGGAAAAAATCTGAAAAATATTTTGTCTCAGGATTTTGATGCAGAATGGTGGAGAATCGATCCACAAATCGTTTAAAACACTCCGCTTGAGAATCGGATGAGAATTGGGCAAGATATAGCCATCACGGTGGGCCCCATAGGGGAAAACATCATTTTCAGGGGATCCATCAGGAAAAATGGGAAAAAAATCTGAAAAATATTTGGTCTCAGGATTTTGATGCAGAATGGTGGAGAATCGATCCACAAATCGTTTAAAACACTCCGCTTGAGAATCGGATGAGAATTGGGCAAGATATAGCCATCGCAGTGGGCCCTATAGGGGAAAACATCATTTTCAGGGGATCCATCAGGAAAAATGGGAAAAAAATCTGAAAAATATTTGGTCTCAGGATTTTGATGCAGAATGGTGGAGAATCGATCCACAAATCGTTTAAAACACTCCGCTTGAGAATCGGATGAGAATTGGGCAAGATATAGCCATCGCAGTGGGCCCTATAGGGGAAAACATCATTTTCAGGGGATCCATCAGGAAAAATGGGAAAAAAATCTGAAAAATATTTTGTCTCAGGATTTTGATGCAGAATGGTGGAGAATCGATCCACAAATCGTTTAAAACACTCCGCTTGAGAATCGGATGAGAATTGGGCAAGATATAGCCATCGCAGTGGGCCCTATAGGGGAAAACGCCATTTTCAGGGGATCCATCAGGAAAAATGGGAAAAAAATCTGAAAAATATTTTGTCTCAGGATTTTGATGCAGAATGGTGGAGAATCGATTCACAAATCGTTTAAAACACTCCGCTTGAGAATCGGATGAGAATTGGGCAAGATATAGCCATCACGGTGGGCCCCATAGGGGAAAACATCATTTTCAGGGGATCCATCAGGAAAAATGGGAAAAAATCTGAAAAATATTTGGTCTCAGGATTTTGATGCAGAATGGTGGAGAATCGATCCACAAATCGTTTAAAACACTCCGCTTGAGAATCGGATGAGAATTGGGCAAGATATAGCCATCGCAGTGGGCCCTATAGGGGAAAACATCATTTTCAGGGGATCCATCAGGAAAAATGGGAAAAAAATCTGAAAAATATTTGGTCTCAGGATTTTGATGCAGAATGGTGGAGAATCGATCCACAAATCGTTTAAAACACTCCGCTTGAGAATCGGATGAGAATTGGGCAAGATATAGCCATCGCAGTGGGCCCTATAGGGGAAAACGCCATTTTCAGGGGATCCATCAGGAAAAATGGGAAAAAAATCTGAAAAATATTTTGTCTCAGGATTTTGATGCAGAATGGTGGAGAATCGATCCACAAATCGTTTAAAACACTCCGCTTGAGAATCGGATGAGAATTGGGCAAGATATAGCCATCGCAGTGGGCCCTATAGGGGAAAACGCCATTTTCAGGGGATCCATCAGGAAAAATGGGAAAAAAATCTGAAAAATATTTTGTCTCAGGATTTTGATGCAGAATGGTGGAGAATCGATCCACAAATCGTTTAAAACACTCCGCTTGAGAATCGGATGAGAATTGGGCAAGATATAGCCATCACGGTGGGCCCCATAGGGGAAAACATCATTTTCAGGGGATCCATCAGGAAAAATGGGAAAAAAATCTGAAAAATATTTTGTCTCAGGATTTTGATGCAGAATGGTGGAGAATCGATCCACAAATCGTTTAAAACACTCCGCTTGAGAATCGGATGAGAATTGGGCAAGATATAGCCATCGCAGTGGGCCCTATAGGGGAAAACGCCATTTTCAGGGGATCCATCAGGAAAAATGGGAAAAAAATCTGAAAAATATTTTGTCTCAGGATTTTGATGCAGAATGGTGGAGAATCGATCCACAAATCGTTTAAAACACTCCGCTTGAGAATCGGATGAGAATTGGGCAAGATATAGCCATCGCAGTGGGCCCTATAGGGGAAAACGCCATTTTCAGAATCGATCCAGAAATCGTTTAAGGTACTCCGGTTGAGAATCGGATAAGATATAAAAAAGATTCAGCCACTGTTTTAGATACAAATACACTGAAGAAGAGTGGAGATATAGAAATGTAGTTGGATTTTTCGTATATTTATTTTTTATTTTTTTAATTATTTATTTTTGCTAAATAACTGTACTATATAACCCGATATATAGTTACCAGGATATATAAGCTTACAAAGCTTGTATTAAAACATAATACTTCTATAATTTTTAAAGGAAAACAGGTTTTTTTTAAATTATAACTCTGAAAATTAAAACACTCATATTTCCATGGCCTACTTTTAAGGGCACCAAGGAGTCATACACCAAGGAAGAGTACAATTTTACGGTTTATTTGCATATAATATCATTCCGGATTAAGCTTTAATTTGGAAGTTATTTAATAAAAAAATAAAAAATAATTTTTAAAAAATAGCGCCCTCCTCCTCGATTCTCATAGGTTGCACTTAAGCTGGCCGGAAAAATCGGGAAATAAAGTGTTTTTTTTTTTGGTAAGTGTTGGTGTTTTTTTTTCCTTGACTTTTATTGGTTTGTTTTTGTTGTTTTAGCTGTTTGTTTTTGTTGTATTAGGTGTTTGTTGTTGTAGTTTTTTGTTGTTGTAATTTTTTGTTGTTGTAATTTTTTGTTGCTGTAATTTTTGTTGTTGTTGTCATTTTGTTGTAATTTTTTTTGTTGTAATTTTTTTTTGTTGTAATTTTTTTTTGTTGTAATTTTTTTTGTTGTAATTTTTTTTGTTGTATTTTTTTTTTTTTTTAAATTTTAATATGTTAGCTCGTATATCCGACTATATCTTATAGCTACCATATATGTTTTTTTTGTTAAAAAAATGAAAAGAATCTCGCGTTTCTTTAAAAACAATGCAATATTTTATTCTACTCCATTAACTACTTAAATCCACCCGGGTTACACACAATTTGTGATCATAAAAGGAACAAGTGGCCATCGTGAGAGCTTTTCCGCCAGTGGGTGCCCAGTCGGCGCCATAACAAATGCTTTTGTGCTCCTCGTACGCGCCCAGAAGACGCAGCTCCGGACTCTTCGCGTCCAGCTCCACCACGCTGAAATTGGTGTACATGCAGGCGGTGAGTATCAGATCCTTGTTGAGGGGATGTGGTTTCAAACGCCAAATACCGCCGCCCAGGTTCACCTCGGCCAGGGTACGTTTCATGGAGCGGGTGTCGAACAGGCGCAGCTGCTCATCGTAGCTTCCAGTCAGCAGGTGATGCTCGTGGCTGGGATGACTTAGCAGGCAGGTGACTCCGGCCATGTGCGCTCGATTCGTCCAGATCTTTTGCTCCTCGGGTGATCTCAGATCGTGGGCCAGGAGAAGCATGTCATCCCCGCCGCTATATAGAACGTGTGGCGACCACCGATCGAAGGCACAGGTCCAGGCCTCAAATCCGTGGCACTTCCATGACTTCTCAAGGGTTAGTTTCCCCTGGGGGGTGTAATTGATCAGATTCAGGCCTCCATTGGAGTCGGAAACAGCCAGTTGAATGGCACTGCCCTCCTGCTTCCAGTCCAGGGCCAGGGCTAGTGGTGGCTCCACATCTTTGTCCTCTTCTAGCGCCAAGCACGTGCGTTTCTCCAAGATCTGTTTATCTTCCAACAACTCGAAGGTTTCCAGCTTTCCCAATGAAGTAACCGTGGCCAGAATGGGACCACTCTCGTTGCCCCACGAGGGCAGCCATTTCATGTCCAGGATGGCTGCCGTTTCGATGGACTGCAGCCGTTCCAGAGATCCTCCATCGAACTGGTACAGATACACGCGACCCTTGCGCGGGCGTTGTTTTCCGCCACTCTCGGCCGCCTCCTCCGCTCCCTCGACCAGCTGATAGGTGCCGCAGGCAAAGTACTTGGCGTGCAGGTCATCCTGATGGCACCATTCCACGGAATCCGCTGAGTATTCCGTGTCCTCGGAGTAAAGAGTTGTGAACTGTGCAGCCATTAGTGATGGGAAGGTGGCTTGTTTTCGGCTGAAACTTACCCAGTAATCGATAACTAACTATCGAGCGCTAAGCTTTTTCAAATATCGAAAAAAAAGAAACTAGCGCGGGCTTTTTAAATATTTTATATTTTCTCTCGTTTATATATTTAACTTCTAAAAAAACAATGTAGTTTGTCTTATTAGATTTATTTGTTATTTTTCGCTTTTTTCGCTAATTTAAAAAATTAATAGTTAATACATACAACTACTTAGTGCTCTGTTTACGCGCTACATATTCTGGATTAGGTTTAGTTGATCTGCTTCACCGTTTGGCTCTTGCTGCTCCTGCTCCTTCTCCTTGTCTCTCCTTGAGGGTTATCTTTTGAAATCTTCCGTAACTTCCAATTCTCCAAGCGGTCTCCTAGGGGCGTCACAGTCTCTGGGGGGGGATTATCATCGGAGTCTCTTACTGACTGACTGGCTAGCTAGGTGGGTGGATGGTAGATTGGACAGTTGGAGGGATGGTAGATAGGTGATGATGTGGTAGGCATGCCAGGCATCCAATTATTGCACTTGATCCTCTTTCCTTTATACAATTCTTCTGCTGATTCGGGTATTCGGTTCTGTACATGTTCACATGTACTTTCTCACACATTAAAAAAATTATACAACCGCAATTAAAAAAAAAGGTGATTAAAAAAAATTACAATCTTATTCGTAACTATAGACACGCGCGCCCTGCTCTCCCTCTCTACTTTGTGCAATTACTGGCGGAACTGGGAACTGGTCCTCCTTCCTCAGCACTCCCATCATCATACCCAGAGCTCCTGCGGTGTGCTGGGACTACCTAGCTAGCGGTGCTGGTTGCTGGGGCGACTGTGACGCCTCCGCGATCCTCATTTGGTCTTCATCACGATGATCGGCTCGAGTATCTTCAGCATGTCGCTGTTCTCCGGTGCTCCGGTTCCATTGCCGCCCCCAGAGCCGGGCGCTCCGCCACTGCCAGCTCCTCCGGCCGCTGCAGCACTCGTCCCACTGCCAGCGCCGGCCAACTGCAGCTTGCTGAATCCCTGATGCTGCTGCTGCTGCTGACTGATGGTGACCAGCCGATGCTGGTTCAGGACAATGGCCTCGTGATGTCCATGCTGCTGCAGGCTGCCGGCTATCTGCTGCAGCTCGTGCTGCTGCAGCTGCAACGGCGGCAACTGCTGGTCGTCCCCAGACCCGTCGCCGTCCAGCTGACTGTTGTCCGTCTTCACCACCGTCACAAAGTCCCCGCCAGCCGGATTGCCCACCGTTTCGGTGTCGTATAGCTGCTGTTCGGTTGTACTGCTGCCGCTGCTGCTGCTGCTCGTGCTGCTGGTGGCCGTGGTATTGTTGGCGGCCGCCACCTCCTCCTCCTCGTCCGCCTCCACCTCGGTCTTCGTGTGGAACTCGGTGCTGGTGGCGCTACTGCTTCGCGGCGTGTGGCTGCGCATGCGCCGCATCCGAGCGTATTCCGCCTGCTTGGACAGCCGCTCCTTGCGCTCCTCGGTGTTCTCGGTGGCCCGGATCTGGGCCCGCTTCAGACGCGCCCGTTCGCTGAGCTTCTGCAGCCGGATGGCCCGCTGATCGGGCGTTTCGTTCGCTCGCACCGCCCGCTGGTGGGCCGCCATCTTGTCCAGCCGGATGCGCTTCTCCTCCTCCGTCTCGTACTTGTTGGGACCGGTGCGTCGCGGTGTGCTCGTCCTCTGACTGTCGCCATCGGCCGTGGAATGTACATTGATCTGGCTTAGTTCCTGCTGATGCTGCTGGTGATGCTGCTGCTGCTGATGTTGGCTCGGTCTGCCGCGGCGCGGAGTGCTCGTTACCAGCTGCGGAGCCGCCAGCATCTGGTTGAGCTCCTGCTCCAACAGATTGTTCACCTTCAGCTGTTCCTCGCTGTTCAGGCCGACGGGATGCTTGCGCGGCCTTCCCCTGCCCTGATGCACCACCATGGCCGGGGCCGGCTGCTGTTGTGGCTGCGGTTGCTGTTGCGGTTGCTGCTGCTGCTGCTGTTGCCCCTGCTCCTGCTGGCCCAACCCCGTGACCGTTAGGGTGGGATTCCCAGCCGCCAGGATGTTGTACTGGCCGGTGGGACTGTTGCCGCCGCTGGTGTTCGCAAAATGCACGGGCGTGAAGGGTGGCGGCACTCCGGCGATCTGGAAGCCATTGTGATACATCGGATAGTAGGCTGTGGTGGTGGTGGTGGCGCCGCTGGCCGTTGTGCCCGTCACCACCCCGGCACCGGTCACCTGCTGCCCGGCCCCGCCCACCACCTGGTTGGCCGTCGTGGCGTTGGGGAAGGTGGCCAGGTAGGGGAACTGATTGTACAGCGGCTGGCCGGCGGTGGCCTTGAGGATCTTCTGCTCGCCGTCGGAGGTGGTCAGGATCACCTTGGTCTCGTTGGGAGCTAATCCAACAGACCCGCTGTTGTCGCCGCTTCCCGGAGCATCGTTGTCCTGTTTTCGTTGTTGTTGTTGTTGTTGATGATGATGGGCGAGGGAGAGGAAGGGAGTTTTTTAATTTAAAAAAATATATATATTTTTAAAAAATTCTAGGGCGGGAAGACCGTGAAAAGGAGCGAGCAAAAGCTTGAGTGAAAGAGATGCACATATACCCTCTCACACACACCCACAGCCAGCAACCGACCGTGAAATTAGTTTTCCTTTTTTTTTATCATTTTTTTTCGAATAAAAAACACTTTTTTTTTTTTTGTTGGTAAGGTTTCTTAATTTTTTGTTTTCTTCATTCTTCTTTTTTTTTACATTTCTACATTTATCTACACTCTAGGTGGTTAATTAGTTTAATTTTAGATACCTTTCCCCCACCTGTGAGGTGTTGATAAAAAAAATAATAAAACAAATAACCAACAGTAACAATAAAAAAAAAAAAAACAAAGAAATGATAAAAAAAGTGGTTCGGGGAAAGGGAGGTTCTTCAAGATGGGGCTACGAAAAAAAAACAGGAAGAGAACCGTCGAGCAGAACCCGTTCCGTTTCCAATTCCCAATTAAGGAACTCAAAAAAAAGTTATATATATACATATATAAAATATATATATAATTACGAGGAGAAACTCTCTCTTTTAATCTCTCGCTCCCTCCGTCGATTCATATTTTGACAATTTCTTGTTTCCCGTTTCCAAAGAAATTGTTTTTTATCTTTTTTTTTTTAATTTAATTATTTCCCAGAGGCAGTTGAGTTTTCCAACTGCAAGGAAAAACATGAAAAATATTTAAATATCAAAACTTCCTGAAGCTTTTCTTGCTTTAACATTTTAATCGATAATTAATCGCATGCTCTTTCGTCTCTAACATCCTTTAAAAAGATTCAAATATCGATAGTTCTATTCAGGTTTCAAAAGGGGTTTCGATTATTCATCGCATGCTTCTTCTTCCCTAACATCGTTTCAAAAGGATCAAAAGATCAAATATCGATGATTTATTGCCTGTTTGAAAAATTTTAAAAGGAAGGCTTATCGATAGTTAATCGCATGCTCAAATATCGATTGTTTGTTTCAGGTTTGAAAGGTGGTTTCGGATTAAAAGAGCAAATATCGATATCGGCGACAACTATTTTGAACAGGAAGGTGTATCGATAGTTAATCGCATGCTTGCTGCTTCTCTAACATCGTATAAAAAGGATCTTTTTCGATATTTAATTTTTAGAGGTTTTTTAAACAATTTTAAAAGGAAGGTTAACAAAACTGGAAACGGGAATTTGTACGCCAGGATGTTCTCTCTAAAATATACAAAGGATCTGGTTCGATCTGAGATTTTGAAGTTGAAGGACTGTCTTGAGAAGACGGTGGTGCTTGCTGCTGTTGCTGGTGCGGAGGGTGTGGGTTTGTGGGAGTATGGTTTCTTGAAACTTTTTGCTTGATCCCGATAACGATAACGATAACTATATCAATCCCGTTAAAGATCCCAGCTATGGCTGCTGCATACGCACCTGAAGTTCCTGCTTCTTGGCGGCGTATTTGTGCGGATAGAGCTCCAGCTGCCCACCGGCTCCCGTCGTCGCAATGCCAAAGTGTGGTACGTGCGCTTGGAGGAGCTTTGTCGTGGTAGTGGTGGTGCCCTTGCCGCCGCCATCGTCGCCATAGATCTGCTGCACGAAGATGCTGCCCGGTTCGCTGCCCTCCAGCAGGGCGGCCGTCACCTGTTGCTGGTTGCCGGCAATGGTGTATCGCTGTTGCTGCTGCTGTTGCAGCTGTTGTTGCGGCATTTGCGGTTCCTGTTTCAGTTGCATAGGTGCCCGCAGTGCGCCCGGTGCCAGGAACATGCCCTGGCCCATGTACTCCAGTGCCTGGTGCTGCTGATAGGCCGTCGCGGCCACCAAATGCTGTTGCTCCTCGGCCGGTTGCGGCGTACCGGCTCCGTTGTCCGATAGGACGTGCTCGTTGGAGGATGCGGCTGCTGCGGCCGCTGCTGCTGCCGCCACGGCCAGGACCTGCTGCTGCTGCTGGTGGTCCGTGGAGCTGCTCGAGGACGTGGCCGGTGTGTGGACGACCACGTTCTTCAGTACCTTCTTCTTCTCCCTGACCTTTTTGGCGTAGGCGTTCAACTTTCTCAGTCTTTCCTTCCGCTCCTCCAGCGACTCGTTGGCGATCCGTTGGCGCGCCCTCGCCGCCATCTCCGCCAGCCGCATCTTGCGCTGCGACTCCGTCTCACTGGCCCGGTACATGCGCATCCGCTCGGCCAGCTTGGACAGTCGCTTGGCCCGCTGGTCCGGCGACTCCATGGCGCGACGCAGCCGCTGACGCGCCGCATTCCGCACCAGACGCATGGCTCGCTCAATTTCGGATTCGTTCTGACGCCGCTGGCGATTGGCCTCGGCGTTGCGTAGCAGTCGCTTGCGGTATTCGTCCTCGCTCTCGCGCTGTCGCCGCTCGCGCATCCTTTCAGCATTTCTGGCCAACCGGCGCTGTCGTGCCTCGGGGCTCTCGTTCCACCTCTGCTGATGGGCGTGGGTCGAGTGGGTGGTGCTTGAGTTGCCGGTGACAGAAGCCGAGCCGCTGCTCGTGGGTCCCAAGGGTGTAGGCGGTGGCGCCTGTTGTTGTTGCTTCAGTTGCTGCTGCTGCTGCTGTTGTTGTTGCTGCTGTTGCTGTTGTGGGGCAGCGTGTGTGGTATAGGCGGCGGGTAGGGTAAGCTGCAGCTGTTGGTGCTGAAATTGCAATTGATCCTGTTGCTGTTGCAAGTGATGTTGTTGCTGGAACTGTTGCTGCTGGTGTTGCTGTTGCACGTGTTGCTGCTGCTGTTGCTGTTGTTGCTGCTGCTGCTGTTGCTGAAGCTGGAGTTGCTGCTGATGAGAGATGGGTAACAACAGCGCCGAAGGATGCTCGATGAGAAGGCGAGTGTTGGGTCCATTGATGGTCAAAACATGGGCGTATTGCTGCTGCTGTTGCTGCTGCTGCTGCTGTTGGTGGTGGTCAAGTGTGGGCTCTATTTTTATCCCATTGGGATCTGGTTCCATTATTCGCTAAAGCCTGAACAACAATCGAAATTGTCGTCACCGGGTCAGGTCAGCAAAATTACAAGAATGTGGCTCCAAGTGCGTCTCCTCGATCGCTTGGCGCCAGCAGACTGCATTGGAAGTTGAGATGCTTCTTCTTCTCCTGCCTCGTCTTCTTCTTCTGATCCTCCTTCTCGGTTTCCCCCGTTTTGTGCTGCCGCTTTTAAAAATTTTTTTCTGTGTGTTTGTGTTTTATTTGTTTGTTTTGCGACAGTTTCCGACACTCTTTTTTTATAGTTTTCGCTTTTTTTTTTAAAGTTATGTAAAGAAAAATGTGTGCTTTGCGCTACGTCGCTCTCTCTCTCTCGATCGCTCTCTCGGGTCTGCCCTGTTGCTCTCGATCTCGCTCGCGCTCTCTCGTCGATCGGCGATCTGCAAATGCCAGAAAATATATTGTATCACTCGCACTGCGACTGCGCTAATTTGATTGCGCACCTTCTTTTTTTATCTCCTTTCTTTTTAGCTCGGAGTTCCCTTTTTTTTTGTTTTTTTAGCTACTTTTTTTTATTACTCTCTTTTGTCGAGGGGGAGCTTGCTGTTTCTTCTTCTTCTTGTTCGATAGTAAGTGACAATTGGCGCCGCCGCCGCTCTGCAACTGCGCTGCTGCTGCGCTGCCAGTGCTTCCAATCGATTTTTCACATGATTATATTGTACACACACACACACAGGCAAATGCACACGCACACGCATACACCGTCAGCTCCGTTTTTTTCCGCTCCTATTTCGAGTATGCTTTTTTTGCTTTTTATTTTTCTTATTTTTATTTTTATTTTTTTATTTTTATTTGTTGTCTTTTCGCCAACTCTCTCTCGCGCTCTTTGCTCTCTCCCGCCGATCCTGCTGCTGCTGCTGCGGCCGCCTCTGCTTTTGGCTCATTTATATCCGGCGAAAAAGGGGTAGAAGAAGAAGCGACAAAGCCCCAAATGTCGGCATTTCTTTTCAGCTTTTTGTTGGCTTTTCTTCTTCACATCTGCCCTGGCCTCTACAGAAACTGTAGCTGGGATTGTTTTGGTTTTTAGTGCTGCCGCGGGAGCTGCTGCTGCTGCTGCTGCCGACGACGCCTCACAAGTCACATTCGCTAACACGCACGCACACACGGTGGCTTTTAGCTCGATTTATTTTGCATTTAATTGCTTCGAACCAGTGCAGGAACAACAGTTGCAAAAACGCGCAAAATCTCCGGTAATAGCGCGCAGGAGGCAAAAATGCTGCGCCGTCAACAACACACATTAAAAAAAACCACAAAACGGGAAGTACGTGCGTGTGTGTATGTATTTATCGCTCGCCGCTTCTTGTGCCAAAAAAATCCGGCGAAAATGTGACCGTATAAGCGATACCGATAAATACCAAAACAAATATACTAAAAAAAAAATACTATAGCTGGTTTGAAGAATGAAATTTCAAATTCAAATTATAACGGCGGGTTTAAAAAAGCTTATTTTTTTAAATTCGATTTTTAATAAAATATCTCGCACCTCCCATTTTTTTAAGTACGCAACATTTAAAAATTGTGAATGCAACTTTATTCAAGTATATTCATTTTTTTTGCAATTTTGTTCTTTTTTTATGTTTCTTTTTGTTTTTTTTTTGTTGTGTTTGTGTTGTTATTTGTTGTTGTTAGTGTACATTGAATATTACAATACACAAAAATGTATATTTTGTTGTCATCTTAATGGTAATGCAAAAACAATTCGATAAACGTTACGACAGGTTATATATAAAAAAAAAAAAAAACAATTTCAAATTTGGACTAGAACTTAATCGATAACTGTTTGTTTTTTTTTTTTTTTATTAATCATTTATAATTAGAATAATATGTGTTAATTATATTATATATTTTTCGGTTTTCGGTTTAGTGCCCGAGAAAAGTATCCTCCTTGTGGGAGTTCTGGAGGGGGTCTGGGGTCTGGGGTTGGGGACTGGGTGGGGATTGCGTGCTATAACAAATATTGCGTTTATGTGCCTGCCAACGGCAACGGATCATGTGTGTATTCAGAGATATATGTGGCCCTATAGCCCTATAATATGCACACACGCTCGCACACACTCTCCCATCCACATACATATGTATCCTTGTGGGGCTGTTGGTGTCGTGTCGTGTGTGTATGCGGTCCTTTTTGGGTTACAAGCTTACACATATGGGGGTTGATTGGCGCCAGGGTGCCTCAAGTTTCTCATTTTTTCTCCATTCTTTTTTTTTTTTTATAAAAAAAATGATTCTTTTTGAGGAAAATATTTGTTGTTTATATCCTTGCAGGGTTTTTATCATTTTTTAGATTAATTTTTTAAAATATTGAAGTTTTTAGAGTTTAAATCTTAACTTATTTTACAAAAATCGGACTAGTAATAGCGTAAAAGTCAGAATTTAACCTTGTGAGGGTTCAAAATCTTCAACTTTTGAAGTCTTTTAAAATTGTAAAAGTTAGTTTTAAGATTCCTACTAAGAGGGTATAAAATCTTCGTATTTCTTCGGCCTTTTTTTAATCATTTTGAAGAGCTTTTCGAAAATATTTAAAATATTTGTTAAAAAAACATTCTTTTTACAAATTCTCTAAGTATTTTTGGCTTTCTTTTTGAAAATATTTAAGATTTAAGAATAAAAATTATAGAACTAAATAGAAAAGAGCTTCCCTTTCTCTTTTTTTATTTAAGAAATAAGAATTTAAGGTTAAAGAACTAAACTCGAAACCTTTTTTTCCAAAAATCGGACCTCTCAAAAACTACCATTCTTTTTAAAACTTCCTCCTGGAAGGGTATAAAATCTTCGGCTTTCTCCCGAAGTCCTTTCTCTCTAAATCCTTTTCTTCCATAATTTCTTTATTTTTTTTGTTTTTGTTTTTGTTTTGATTCGCCTGAGGATAAGCTGAAAGGCACTTGTTGCCTCGTCCCTCTATGAAGTGCCAATTTTAAGGATTTTTTGTTTTTAATTTTTCTTTTAAGATTTAAGATTTAAGATTTATGTACACAGTGAGGCACCCTGCTATCCTTGCCCCCCACACACACACACACACACACACTCACAGACACTCTCACACATGGCATGTAAGCTTCCTGGCTTCGTCCTTTTTGCCTTTTTGCTCTAGGGGGGTTGGAGCCTTGCGCCTTTTTTGGGGGACACACATCTCTTCCCGTCTCTTTCTAGTGTGTGTGTGTGGGGGGGGGTGTGTGGGGGTGTGCGTGTGTGGTCGACTATGCTAGCTTTCCGTGTGTGGGTGTGTGTGTATAACTATGCGTATATATATATATATATATATTATATATCGTACGAATATATAATGCATGCATTATAAAAATACTTTACTTTTATATTAAGGTATGTTCTTTTTTTTTTTACTTTTGTTTTTAAATTTTAACTTAAAAAAAAAATTGCCGAGCCCTAAATCTAAGTCCTAGAGGTGCCTTCTGTCCTGTCCTGGCTCATGTCCAGCTCCTCCTCGTATATTATTTATAGACGTGTGTGTGTGTGTGTGTATATGGGTGTATAAGGGCTTTGGGTGTGTCTGTGTAAGTGGTAATCCTGGCCAGCTTACTCCTGGCCGGAGCCAGCTCCAAAATATGATTCCCTTCCGTTCAGTATCCCTTTAGCCTATCGGCCAGCGGCGGCTTGATGACCTTGGGCGCACTGGCCCGCGCCACCCGCATCCTCTCGGCGGCCTTCGCCAGCCGCTTCTTCCGCTCATCCGACGTCTCCGAGGCGCGCCGCAACCGCTGCCGCGCTGCGTTCTTCATCAGTCTTAGGGTTCTTTGTACTTCCGTTTCGTTCTGGCGGCGCACCCGATTCGCCTCCGCGTTCTTTGCCAGCCGGAGCCGGTACTCCGTCTCCGACTCCTTCGACCGCTTGTCCCGCATCCTGGCCGCGTTCCTCTCCAGCCTCCGTTCCCGCGCCTCGATCGACTCGTTGCTCCTTCGCCGGGCCGCCTTCTGGGCGCGCGACGACTGCGAGTGGTTCGACTGTGTGGCGGGATTGTGGCCCAAGTGGGGTACTCCCAGCTGGGCGAGTCCCGGTACTCCAAGATTCCCAAGCTGTAGGGTGCCAGTGTTTCCACCACTGCCACTGCTTCCGCCTCCGCCGCTGCCCACAACAACCACTCCCGTGGAGAGATGATGATGCAGGGGATGCGTTTGCTGTTGCTGCTGCTGCTGGAGCTGCTGCTGATGCTGGTGCTCCGCCTGCTGGCTGTGCTGCTGGAGGGGATTCCCAGAGCCCGGCTGCTGCTGGGAGAAGCCGTTCTCCAAAGCACCACTCGCCGTATTGGGGGCAGTGCCTCCGGCCCCCGAACTACTGCCGGACGCGGAGCTGGCGGTATTGCCGCCCGGCGCCGACGAGGAGGAGGTGGCCGCTGCTGCGGCGGCAACGGCGGCGGCGGAAGCTGAGGCGGTGGCGGATACAGAAACGGAGGCAACGGCTGCGGCGGCGGCCGCCGAACTCGCCGAACTGTAGTTGTTGTATTCTATGAGGCCGCGGTTGCCGGGGTAGAGGGCATGGTGCATGGGACTCTCATAGCTGAGGTACTCCGGCTTGATGAAGAACGGATCGGAGCGGGCGGTGAGCGGCGCCGTCGGCGAATTGAGGAAGTAGAGGCGACTGTGGTGCTCGGTGGTAATGCTCCCTCCGCCACCCACACCCGCGGACATCGGGGGATTTGTGCGCTCGCTCTCGCGACTCCCCGCTTCGCCTGCTGCGTTATATTTTTCTGTTTTTTTTTTCACTCCTTGGGTCCTGGGACTCGATCCTGGATCGGCGGAGGAGCAGGCTGCTGCTGGGGCGCCCACCGGTTTTGGGTTGCGAGTCTGGTACGGCCTCGGGTCGGTTGGGTTTCGCGCGCACTACCACAATACAATTAACTGGCCAAAAAAATGTGGCGAGTAAACAACAAAAGCGACATAACTAATCAATATGGAAAAAAGCTCTCGCGACGAGGTTGGTTGGTTGGTAAGTTTCTGCTGGTGCTCCGCGGTCTGGCCGAAAGCTTTCTGGCCAGTGTTGCAAAAGCCCGCCATTGAGTGCTGGCCATCGATGGTTTCTATCGATTACCAGCCTTTCGATAACAAAAAAATACAATATTCAAAAGAGCAGTTTAAAATGGTTGTTTTTAAAGAGATTTTAAATCAAATTACTAAAATTGGTGTAAAATATTTAAAACAAATCTTTAAAGAATCTCCCACCTTAGTAGGCTTTGGAAACTGTCAAATGGGTATGCCTTTTCTCCAGCCTGAAACATCTCATTCGGTAACCAACTTCCGAAAGGCTCACATCATTTGTTTTTTTGGCTCTGAACGAAAATAAAATTATTTTTTAATTTTTTTATTTTTTTTAGAAATTATTTTTTTTTCATCTGAAAATAAAATTGCGATTTATAACCGGCAGCGGAGAACTCATTAAAAAATGGATCGATCTGATGAAGAAAATGAAGATAACCAGAACGTCATCGACGACTGGACTGCTGACGGAATAGAAAGGACTCCGATAACCGAATTCTGTATAAGGCTTCTGGATCAGTGTGCCGCGATGTCGAATATGGACAAGTACTATCTTCGAGGTCGCTGCTTCAAGACGATAAAGGCGAACGGGTGGCTCGGCTTGTTTGACGGGACCATGGAACCGGAATCCTTTCCAGAAGAAGAAGAAGGAGTAACTTCCTTGTAGCTCCCATAACTGAAGAAGGAGATACGACCGCAGATGATACCCAAAACAAATTAATGGCCAAAAGAAGTTGCAAACATTTTAAAGACTCGAATGGAATTCAGAATACTGCGGGAGAAGGAATATATAATCAAAATACTCGAAATACTGAAAAGAGACTACGAATAATTAAACACTGACTTGCAAAAAAACTAACCAATTACCATGTTTTTTTGTTTTTCTTTTTTTTTCGTGTTTTGTGTCCAAATTATTGGTTTAAATTTTATAACGGTATCTCGAAAGCGGGCATTTGGTATTAAATATACCAGAACTAGGGATGGGATAAAAATCGATATTTCGATAATTGTGGGCGGGAAATATCCAAGTCATCGGGATTTGAAATAAATACTCAAATTTATTTTAAAAAGACTGTCTTGGTCTTACTTTTTGCATTAACTAAAATAAAATTAGTGACACAAAACATTAGCAGCTTTATGGAGGGTTTTATTTGGATTTAATTTTGCTCATATACAAGAGCTTAGTGTGACCAAACAGAAAGTACCAGAAAATCCATCGATAGGCGATAGTATAACCGTATATGTATCGGTTGGACATTTCGATACAGATTTGTGTTCGACATCCCTAGTTTGTTTTGCTTTTCATTTCAAACGAGAAGGTTGCCCCAAAAAGCCTAGGGCGGCCCCAACAAAAAAGACCTTACCGCAACATAAATCGGGATAACTGAAAGAACATTCCGTTACAAGAACTCTGGTTTTTTGTACACCTATTCGAACTGTTTGAAAAAAGTGCGCTATATATGCAACGCTATTCCATGCCAACCTGACATGAAGAAACAAGTGTGTGTGTGTGCCGCATGTACCGCTACTCGACAGCAACAACAGAACATAATCGGCTGCAGCAAGAACGACAATTGCAACGACAATAGGAGGTGCATTCTTTAATTGTGTTTACCTTTTCGACTGTCATTCGTTACACACACACACACACATGCGTATATATGAAATATATTTTATAATTGCGTGTGTCGCGCGTCCTCCGGTGGAGTCGCCCCGTGTCTGACCGCCCCCCCCGCCCATAAAGTTCCTTGTCGGTACGTTCCTTTTTGTTTGTTTGGTTTTTTTTTTTTTTGTTGTTGGTGTGCACTCTCGGGTTTTCCGTCACCAATTGGAATGTGCAGCGGGCCAAAAAAAAAAATAAAAGGAAAAGCCATCAAAACGATAAGAAAACGCTAAGAAGAAGAAAAGGCTAAGAACACAAGAAGAAGAAGAAGAAGAACTAATTCAAGGAGCAACGATTTTTCTTCATGATTTTTGTTGTTTTTTTGTGTAAAATGAGAATAATTTATATAACATTATAAAAAGAATAAAAAACCATAAGCCAATCGACAATAATAAAAAAAAAAAACAAGGCAACTACTTTAACAACAACAACAATGGCAACAACAATGGCAACTATAATAGTAGCAGCAAACGAGGCAACGGCCAAGTACTAATAAATATAATTTTTTTTTTTTTTTTTTACACATTCACATTCCATTTTTGATATTCTGTTGTGTGTGAAAAACTTATAAGAAAAAAAAACAACAACAAAAACACGAAACAAACGGCAAATAACAAAATTATCAGACAACAACAACAACAACAATCATCATCATAATAATAATAACAACAACAAGCGGCAACAGCAGCAACGGGCATAGCAGAAGAAGAAGAAGAAGAAGCAAGATAAATACATAGCAATTTCGACTAAATAAAGGTATGTGCGGCGATGGCGATGGCGACGACGATTTTACTTGACTTTATTATTACTAACTATACTAGAAGAGTGAGCGAGTGGCAAGATGTTGATACACACACTCACACTAACAGAGAGACATCAACTTACTCACATATGTATGCATACATATTTCATTATTAGTTTAACTCTTCAATTTATTATTGTTATTATTGCTGGCTCGGCTCTGCAGCGAAGCTCTCTTTGCTCTCGACCTCCTTCCCTCTCTCTGGCTGCCTTGGCTGCCTTGGCTTGACTCCTTGGCTCCCCTTTATGGGCAGCTCTCTCTCTCTCTTTAGTAATGGGCTCCAATGTCTCTGGAGAGTGCTGCTCTCTGCTAGTTCTTAGCATTGTTGTTGTTGTTGCTGCCATTAACTATGTTCACTTGAGCGCAGGAATAGTTACGTTAAAGTTAAATCAGTGCGTTAACTTGTATGCATGTTTGTGCGTGTTCGTGTGTGTGAGAGGGTATGGAGTGTCTATGAACACCTGTGAGCGCAGAAATAGGGACTCAATCGGAAGGATTTTATTTAATTATTATTTTTATTAAATTAAATTAATAATTAAATAAAGTAGCAAATAGCATAGCTTTCAAATCAGAGTTCTAGTCAAGTCTTACTTTACTTATTTAGTTGGCTCTATTTAGCTGACCTCGACTGTTTAGGTATTTTCGTGTGTGAATAAAGATTACGCTTTATTTTTCCATTTTTTTTTTTGAATAGTATGCCTACGAAAATTGTTTAAGAAATATATCAGCACAATTGTATTTACCTTTAGCGTGGTTTTGTATCTGTATCTGTATCTGCGTATGTCACACGTATCTGTATCTGTGTATCTGTGTGTGGTTTTATTGTTCTTTCATATTTGATCGCCCGCTTGATAAAATAGAGAAGAAAAACAACAACCTAGTTTAAAGCAAACACCACTGTTTGTTTTATTATGTATGTATGTATGTATGTATGTATGTTTATAAATTAAATAAGTGATTTTTGTATTGCCACATGGCTGAGATTTGTAGATACAAAATGTATCTATGCTGAGTATCTCGGTTATGCAACATATTTCAGTAGATCCCTTAATTACGTCTCCCATCCCAAACTGCCAACTAATGTTTTTCTCATTAAGAACCACCCTCCCCCACCCCCTTGCATTCTTAATTAATTTTAAAATCAATAGATACAAATAGTATCTGTATCTACGAGGAAACTGGTTAAGATTCGCAAACCTTTTCAGCTCAATTTTCCATCTTTTTTAATTGAATTTCAAATTATAGAGCCCCCGTCTATAAGCTTATGTAAGCTGTGAAAATCGAGAAAAATAAACAGGAAGCTCTGAGATACATATCTCTCTTCTGCAGATCTGCGGATCCTTCCAGAGGCCCTTCCCTTTTACCATAGCTGGCATTTGCAATAAAAATATACGAAAAATGCGAAAAATAATACCCACTCGCTGCACATATTTGTTAACATTACCATTACCATATCCCATTTCCAATTTCCAAGCTGGCTCCTCTATGTGACTCAGATACAACAACCAACCAAGCACAAGATACAACAAAACAATAACAACTGAAATACAACAAAAAAATATAAATAAAAAAAACTGCAACAACAATAAACGCACACACCTATTTATGTGGTTGCACACACACACATCTATATAGTCTCGGAATAAAAAACGATATGCATATGTAACTAAGCGAGTATCATTAAATGCAGATCTCTATAAAAGCATAAAGTACAACAACTCAAATCAGAGTTACTGGCTGGGAGTACCACGAAGCTTGGATACCCTGCAGGAGGGTTTTGAAGATAACTCGATTAAGGATCTATATGGATACAGATAGATATTAGACAGATCTTAAAGATAGGGATTAGTATTCCATAGTTTTGAGGGGTTTTGAAGAGAATCTGATGAAGAATCTATATAGATACAGATAGATATTAGACAGATCTTAAAGATATTCTATAATTTTAGTATAAGGGTTAGGGTATTAGGTTCTATAATCTATATTAATGGTATAGTATAGTATAGTATTCTATAATTTCGAGGGGTTTTTGAAGAGAATTTGATAAAGAACCTATATAGGTACAGATATTAATATTAGACAACTCTTAATGATAGGGATTAGTATTGTATAATTTTGAGGGGCTTTTGAAAAGAATTTGATAAAGGACCTATGGGTTATGGGTAGATTTTGAATAGATTCTTAAGTTAAGGATTAGTATTCTTTATTTTTGGTTGATTTTGGACAGAATTTGGTAGAAGATTTGGGGTTTATGGTTAGGTTTCTATAGATCCCAAGGTAGAGTATGAGTTTTGAGTATTTTTTTAAAGGTTAAAGATGGAATTCTTTAAAAAGAAGCAATGTTTTAGATTAAAGATAGATTATAGATTATATAGACTTAGATATAGTACAAAGATCTATAGTATAAAGATATAAAAAAGAAAGATCTCATAGTTTAAGAGCCATATTATGTATCTTTAATAGGTTTTAGATAGAATTTTGATCAAAAAACTACAACTTATAGATAGATTGGA